TAATTTAGTGTTAGGTTAGTTGGTGTAATTTAGTGTTAGGTTAGGTTAGGTTGGTGTAATTTAGTGTTAGGTTAGGTTAGGTTGGTGTAATTTAGTGTTAGGTCAGGTTAGGTTGGTGTAGGTTAGTGTTAGGTCAGGTTAGGTTGGTGTAATTTAGTGTTAGGTTAGGTTGGTGTAATTTAGTGTTAGGTTAGGTTAGGTTGGTGTAATTTAGTGTTAGGTTAGGTTAGGTTGGTGTAATTTAGTGTTAGGTTAGGTTAGGTTGGTGTAATTTAGTGTTAGGTTAGGTTAGGTTGGTGTAATTTAGTGTTAGGTCAGGTTAGGTTGGTGTAATTTAGTGTTAGGTCAGGTTAGGTTGGTGTAATTTAGTGTTAGGTCAGGTTAGGTTGGTGTAATTTAGTGTTAGGTCAGGTTAGGTTGGTGTAATTTAGTGTTAGGTTAGGTTAGGTTGGTGTAGGTTAGCGTTACGGTTCTTGGTTTTGTTTTAATATTTATTTTATTGCGTCTTGTTACTTCATTCGAGTTATGTCCTAAGAGAGAGAGAGTGTGTGTGAGTGTGTGTGTGTGTGTGTGTGTGTGTGTGTGTGTGTGTGTGAAGTCGAGTTAACGGTTCCCACTGCACTGGGTGTTCCGTTTCCTTCACTGGGTGTTCCGTCTCCTTCACTAGGTGTTCCGTCTCCTTCACTAGGTGTTCCGTCTCCTTCACTAGGTGTTCCGTCTCCTTCACTAGGTGTTCCGTCTCTCTTCACTAGGTGTTCAGCCTTAGTGTTCCGTCTCCTTCACTGGTGTTCCGTCTCTTCACTTCGCTAGGTGTTCCGTCTCCCTTCACTAGGTGTTCGTCTCCTTCACTCGGTGGTTTCTTCACTGTTCTCGTCTCGTTTCTTCACTAGGTGTTCCGTTTCCTTCACTCGTTCCTTCACTAGTGTTCCGTTTCTTTCACTGGTTCCGTTTCTTCCGGTGTTTCGTCTCTTCACTGGGTGTTCCGTTTCTTCACTAGGTGTTCCGTCTCCTTCACTATGTTCCGTTCCGTCTCTTCCTTCACTGGGTGTTCCGTTTCCTTCACTGGGTGTTCCGTTTCTTCACTTCCTGCTTCCTTCACTAGGTGTTCCGTTTCCTTCACCAGGTGTTCCGTCTCCTTCACTGGGTAGCCCTGTCTCTTTCACTAGGTGTTCCGTCTCCTTCCTGGGTGTTCCCGTCTTCACTGGGTGTTCTGTCTCTTCACTGGGGTGTCTCTTCTTCACTGGGTGTTCGTCTCTTCACTAGGGTGTCTCTTCACTGGGTGTTCTCTTCTTCACTAGGTGTTCCGTCTCCTTCACTGGGTGTTCGTTCCTTCATCAGGTGTTCGTTTCCTTTTCACTGGGTGTTCGTTTCCTTCACTGGGTGTTCGTCTCCTTCACTGGTGTTCGTTCTGTCTCTTCACTAGGTGTTCCGTCTCTCTTCACTAGGTGTTCCGTTTCCTTCACTGGGTGTTCCGTCTCCTTCACTAGGTGTTCCGTCTCCTTCACTAGGTGTTCCGTCTCCTTCACTGTGTGTTCCGTCTCCTTCACTGTGTGTTCCGTCTCTTTCACTAGGTGTTCCGTCTCCTTCACTAGGTGTTCCGTCTCCTTCACTAGGTGTTCCGTCTCCTTCACTGGGTGTTCCGTCTCCTTCACTAGGTGTTCCGTCTCTTTCACTAGGTGTTCCGTCTCCTTCACTGGGTGTTCCGTCTGACACACAACCACAGATGGTACAGTTGTGGTAATGTGTTCCATGCCCCCTGTGGTAACCCGTGGTCTCCAAATGGTCAACCTAAATGACCTATAGCAAATGTATCCACCAATCACGTGCGTCGTTACATAACCAATACCCAATCATTCATAAACAGTGATACTATTATTGCGACGGAGCCGTTTGGAGACACTGGTTACCACAGGGGCCCCCGTAGGATCACATTACTGTATCGTCAGGGTGACCGACAGGCCCAAAGGTGGCAGCTGTGTCTCGCCTCCACCACGACACTGTGAAGCTTGGGAATCATAGTTGCTAAATATTTGTTACTGTAATTCAGTCCATGACGAAACCTGTCGCTTTTATTCATCCCATCAATGACAATCGCTGTTATTTATTCCCTCATTCGGCGACGTTAAGTAACATAAACGTCATAAAGTCGGCGATTCTCTTTGTGAAATTATTCGGTCCGTGGACAGCAGCTTGTCTTGTCTAGTGATGGGTGAGCAAAGGCATGTGAGCAGCCTCAACCTTCACACTGTACACTGTTGTGCGTCCCGAGTCGCTTGTGCCAAGTGGTAGGAATCACCTGTGTGTGAGCCTTGACGGGTTAGGTCATCAGCGGGGGGCTCGAGCAGGTGAATTTGGATGTGTGTCATTCTTCTGCTTGGCTTCGTCTAAGACTGATTTATGTGGGTTGTATCGGTAAGGAGGTGTGTCCTGTCTGTAAGTAGGACTGGAGTGTGGAGCGAGGCCCAGGTGCGCCGCGGTGATATGCTGGTAGTTAGGGGAGCGTGGAAAGATTGCCATAGAGGGAGAGGGTCGGGCAGCACCGGCTTTTGGCAGCCCCGACCCGGCCCGCTGCCAGCATCATTCGCCGCTAGAGGGCAGGCCAGGCACCCAAGGTTTTAAAAAGAACAGGGGTAGGCTTAGAGTTCTCACTTGTTCCTGGGCGGGACAGGGCAAGGCGGGCGTTCCTTTTCCTTTCTGTGTCTCTTTCCTGGGAGCCAGTCATTTTGGCCCAGGGTCGTGTCCTTAGGTAAGTGAACACCAGCCAACCTGGAAGCCGTGTGTGTGTGCAACTCATAGCCCTGTAGCTACGTGTTTCTGAAAATGTGGTGTATATGCGTAAAATGTGCACTTACCCTCCAACACGACGACCAGTCAAGAAATCTATCTCGTAGACGGAGTCTTCAAGCCGGACTAGTGGTTGGTGGTGAGAGAAGGGCGGAGGTTTGCCAGCCTCCTGTGGCCACCAGGCACACAGGGCTCTCCTGTGGCCACTGCTGCCCACGGCACCGCTCTCCAGTGCCTGTGAAGTGCCATAGTTTTACGACGAGCGTGAGTGAGCAACACGCTGTGGAAGGATGTAATAATGTGATCCACCGTCTCGTATTTTGGTCGCCAATCGCCCCAGTGGGACTCTGTTGTACAAGTCGTGTGCTCTTAAGTGCCATCGTTTTTTAGTACTGAAGAAAGTGTTTTTACTTTTGAAGACTATAAGCCGACCGCTTGATTTTGGCGAAGCTAGTGAGTGTGGGTAGGGGATGAGTGTGTGTTGGTCAGCCTCGGGAGGGCGCGTGTGGAAAGTGCCTAGTGAAGGTGCACACGGGAGGTGTACCTGTGACACACACACATACACATACACACACACTTCACGTCTCCACCACGCCTAAATAATCCACACAAATTCATCACAGTACCGCCTACTACTACTACTACTTTGCTGTCACTCGGAATCGAATATGACGATCATCCGGCTATGATACCACCAAACACACACACACTTGACACGACACAACCACTTAAGTAGCACTTGACTCCTCTTACACACTACACTAAAACTCTCACCCACATCACCACATTTCATCCACACATCACCATACCCACACACCCTCACCATACCCACACACACCTCGAACCCTCACTCCACACCTTAACAGCACCACACCACCACATCGCTCCACACCACCACCTATACCAACAGAATAGTGAATTTCTAAATGGCATAATATTTGGAATATAATTATGATAGGCAATTTATCAAGTTCACTCACGTTTTATGTATTTAAATAAACGTTTCTCTCTCTCTCACACAGAGCCTATAACTAATATAACCACAAATTATAAGTTCTATCTTTCTATTAAGTCAACTGAGTGATTAAAAACACAAGAATAAATGAAAAAAAAAGGAAATTATATATATTTTTACTAGATGAAAACGTAATAAGGAGTAATAAACACTTTAACAATGGTAATAAATTGGTTTTAGTAAAGCTTGTGTTAAAGAAATGGTGATTGTTCTTCATTTTCTCAAATATTCACATAGGCGGTGTTCATTATCACACAATGTATTCTATTATCAGATACGGTAGAGTGTAAATCAAGATTATATAATAGATAGGCGTACAGTGTGTTAACTTAGAGCTGTAGAAGGCGAGTATAATCACTTGTTTCCACAGCGTATCATGTTACCCGAGCCATCTGCCACACACTGGGTTAGAACAGTATACACTACAAATAGATTTATAGTTCGGCTTCTCTACTGCATCCAATCATGACTTAGATATTTATTTCTTTAATATTTTCAAGGTTAGGGGATTAGTTTCAACTTGGCAGCAATGAAAAACCGCCGCGCAGCTTCGTTTTAGATATTTCTAAACACGCCGGCCATCCCAAGGGAGCTGGTACCCCGTAGGCCAAAAATGAACTCCATTTGAACTTGGCGCACTCGAAATGGGGCTTTCCTATTTTAAGCCAGGCAGCGCCGACCAATGAGAGCTCCTTTATGGTATACGTCAGCACCGCGCAAGCCAATCATAGCCATCCACATTGAGTATCACGTTTTAGCTGCTCGGCAACTCTGTAAATCTTAATATACATGGATTTTACTGTAGTATTGTCTTACTGTAGTTAGTTTGTAGTATTTAATGTTCTATTGATTTTATATTTTAGGTTAGGGAAGAATATTTTCGTGATTCCAGTACAATATACAGCTTTATTTACTGTCATGGTGAACGAGGAATCAGCTGTAGGTGCGTCGTCTGCTGCCATTGTCATGAGATAATATTGTGCTTTATATATAGCTTTCCTCATATGCTGAAATATTTTCTTTAACATAACTAAACTCTAACATTTAGTTCTCATCAAATTATAATATATATATGTGGTCAATTGAGCGTAATATGTACATTAGCACGTAACTCTGACTTCAGTTGTTTTACATGAGACGCCCGTACGGTACGTGGCCATACGCCCTCAGTGTTGTTCTGGCGGTGATGGTGGGTGTTTGACACGAACTTAAATGAACAAATCTCACTTAAAAACTCGTGCTTAAGTCTCCAGTTTACTCCCGTCACGTCTGTTGTCGTGGATATGATATTGTGTTGTGTTGACATCATTTTAGTGTGCTAGTGTTAAGTTCAAGTGACGTATTTAGGGGTTAATTGTATTTGGGCAGGACGCTGTGCTGGGCCATCATCAGCTGCTGCCAGGAACTGTTCTCACAGAGTAATGGAAATAGTAAATACCATCACCTAATGACGGGTGAGTGCCAATACCACCCCTTAGGATCAAGATTAAATGTCTTTTGTTTACTTGACGTTTTAGAATTAAGAGGTCAGTGTGGTCATTACACTATTACCACTTGTGTAGTGAATAGTTCATACCAGAGGTTACTTGTGGTGTTCCGTCGTGACTGTTCCGTCGTAAGGTACAGACAGGTGTGGTGGTCGGTTAAGTTGTAGTATTTTAATGATTTTACATAATGGTTTGTTTGAATGAGTAAATGTAGGATAAAAGTGTTGTTCATTCATTATTTTGTCCAGTGCATATTAATCTTCGCTACGGGTTCAGGGATAATGCTGAATCACCTGAAGCAATCAATGTAGCTTTATAATTAAGGCAAGTTTAGGAATACCTGGGTAACTTGCACTATGGTTTTCATTTCATTAACCTTGTGTCATTTCACAGTTAGGCAGCACAGTTTTGGGAATTCTAGATTATTATGGCACTTAGGCAGTTTAGTTTTGAAGAATTTTTTTTTGGGTAGTTGGACTCCTATAACCTTACCACCTGTCATCTCGTGTAGTTACCAAACTTACCACTATAACTAGACATAAGAAAATAAGGGAGTCGTTTGTGTGTCAGTTCACGTGTGATCACTTTCGTTCAGCGTTACAGTTGATGTGTTAGGAAGTTGTGTTAGTAATGTCTCACTGTGCCAGGTGGCCAAATGTATTCATGGCAAAAAAAGTGGCACTGAGCCATGTTTGTTGCGTTCAGTAGCTGGCACGGTGCTCCAGACCTTTGGCATGCTAAGATGTTACTTATGTATATATTCACCTGTTATGCAACACTGTTTTTGTATTGATAAGAAGTTGAGTCATAACATTTGCAAAGTTGTTGAATGGTGTGCGACAATGTATTAGCTTACTAAGTCCTGCAACACAGCATCAGGTAGTGTTGTGAATTTTTTACCCAGCTTGTGATGCGTACAGTAGATGTCTGGTATAATTATAAGTAAATATGTTAAAACCATATACGTCTACTAGAGTTGTGATCGCAAAATATATTTTTATATCTTTGTGACATACTGTACCTACTGGTCTAACGCACGTTGAGGGCCTATAGTTAAGTTCTTAAATGTATACTTATTATAGAGATTTAATTTATTCTGAAAAATTGAAAGCAGCAGAAACACTGTACTGTATAGCTAAACTTATTCTTTGCTTATATATATATATTATTTCACCTAACGATTAACTACCGTAACACTATTTGAGGGATGAGTTTAGGCTGTTACGATCATTAAGCATTGTAAAATAAGCTAGAGTTCTCCACCCCATTATAAGTACAATATTTATACATTGAATAGTGTAGTCTCGCGAATTTAGAATTGTATAGTACAGTACCTCGATGCTTAAATTACCCTTCCATTTAATGACATTTTAATTTACTAATGACTTAAAAAGAACCAGTTACTGTATATAACGGCAGGTGTTGGTCTGACATGAGAACACTTAAGGTTCCTCTTAATTCACCTGTAAAGCATCACCAAGACTTACTTCGGAGCACACACGGAGGTCAACGTCCTCATTATACTTGAATGACCTTGTTGCCCGTTGTCTGGAGCTCGGGGCCCAGATCATAGCTTCCTTGTTCCTGGCCTCTACCATTGAACGTCAAGATTTTCAATTGTTCAGCTGATGTAAGGACAAAGGCGGGGGTATATGCCTACTGGTGTTGAAACTGTGTTCGTTCCTAGCATAACTGACTTTTATCGGCTCGGCAGCGTGTTGTTGCTAGGTTTTACAGAGAGTGGTGACGCCAGGCGCACATTTTCGGCGTAAGATCACATTCTCGTACGTTCATTCCATGTTAGCTGTTGTGAAGGTAGCTAAAAAAATCCCCACCACTTGAGACCCCTCCCCAGTTTGTTGATATTTTTCTCTGCACTTCATATACTGTCCCTTCATAGCTGTCTACTGTGCCGATATATTGATGATTATAAGCTACTGTACCTGCCGTCCACTCAGTACCGCTTGGGTGTTTTTCAGCGTTCTTAGTGATTTTCGTGTTTCAGTAGATATTGAGAGCAGTGAACTTTTCTACCAGATGGTACTTTTACTAGGTCGGTAACACGCTTATTGTGCAACAGTTTAACACTATATTGCCCTGGGAAGTATTGTTAGGTCGGTTGTGTTCTGTTTCTCCCGCGTTAGTTAGTCTTGTTTTACATTCAGATTTTTTAAAGGGGACATGACTCCATTTTTCACATATACAAACAGTAATAGTGGTATATCATATTGGCCTTGTCTTTATCATCAAGTGCTTCCATCATCTTATCGTGGTGTTCAAGCAGGTGTGAGATGTGATACAGTGTTGTCGCCCTGAAGCTGCTGCTGCCTGTGTTTTGGTTCATTGATTGGTGATCGTTCATTCCCCCCTGCGGGCTGGTACAATACTTCCATCACACCTTAGGAATTTGTTAAGGTTTTTGGCACGGAATGTTTGGGTGAATTTTTTAATATTCCCTCGTGACGGGTGACAAAAGGTGGTAACTCGCAGTGCTTTCTTGTTTCCTTACGAGTTGTTTTGATCATAAATTTTAGATAATCAGAAGCACATGATGTAAGACGTATTTATTTATGCACATTGTCGATAGCGGTGTTTAGCTGTCAAATATTGTGGTGTTATGAATATGGTACAATCTCCGTATAAAAAAGTGAAACGTGAAGCCTCGACTCATCTTATGATATTATTAACAAGTGTAACGCGAGAATGTGTCTCTTGTATCATTACTGTAACTATGATAAGAGAGGTCGTTACGCCATTAGAGATAAGCCTAAAGTGGTATACGCGTTAGTACATCCTTCAGATAAGAGCCATCACAGTTCAAGCGCATCGGTCTGTATATGCCATATGTAGTCCAAGGCTGTGAGTGAGGGAACGTTTGGTAGAGCTATCTTAGGTTACTTGTGTTTAATTTTGTTTGTACATTATGACTACCAGGTATATTAAATTGTGTAATAGTTTTTCCTTGAGTAGATTATGAAGTTGTGTTGGGAACGTGAGTTATACTGCGCCCTGAGTAATGGTACCACGTCCCAATATCTGCACCAAACTGTAGAAGTGCAAGTTAGGTGGTCTGGTAATTTCAGTTCTCGGTGTGAGGTTATCTCTTGAGTCAATTTTGGGCTGTAGTGAGCGTGTTTTTACCGAGTCATTGGCGATAATTCAGATGCATGTATTCGTCACATACTGTCGCCATCGAAGACATATTTCATACTAACTCGCGGTTTCACTAGTAAAACAGTTTATAAGTGACGGTTTTATTAACTATCCGGCAACGTAAGCGTATAGAGTTTTCATTGTCCGCCATACGGTAAACTTTTTTTCTGAAAATTAAGTTATACTGATCATGTTTACTCGGTATAATAATCTCGAGTTATTTAATCTAGCTTGTAATCCTCGGTATCTCGGTGTTATATTGTACGGTGCCGGTAAAGGTGTAGTTATGGTGCCGGTAAGGGAGTAGTGCAGTGTAGTTCCGGGTTCACGAGTGTGCTGCTGACCTGTACGCCAAACTTTGTCTCTCTAAACAGAATGGTAGTGAAGATAGTCTCGGTGTAATGGTGTTATAGGGTGTTGTAGGTGTTAATTCACTAGCTAGAAGAGATCATATATTGCCAGTCAGGGGAGAAACGACAACGTGGCTTATGGTACCGGACTTTATACAGAGACACCGGGTCTAGATTTGTTGAGTAATTACAGTAGTAGTAGTAGTATCAGTAGAGGCGCTCGACAGACGTGACGTGTCTTGGTGATAAGGTGACCCCCGTCCTCCCAAGTTGGACCATCCAATCTTATCTTATTCCACTAGTCTATATATACTGTGCGTTGACCCCATTTACCGTATCGGAGGAGGAAGAGAGGGGTGGTGATGTGTAAATGCGGCATGGAAGCTAAGCAAAATACAGAGGTTAGAAAGAAAATATCTAGTCAAAATTGTCCCGTGGCGTGGTAGTTGTAGTGACGGAGAGAATGATTGTAGCTGGTGGGATCAAAGTTGTCTTTAAACCGATGAAGTTACAGCACACACAAAAGAAATCATTGAATGTTAAAATGCCAGAGTGTATACCACCTGTTGGTCGAATTCTCGCTTCGTGGGGGGGACTTGTAAGATAAATCCCACCTTGGGTATCACATAACGCGCGAGTCAGGTTAATGTTACTTTGTGAAAGAGTTCGTTCACTTGTAAGATGCTGGTTTTTTTTTACCATGAATGAAAAGCAAGTGCAAAGAAGTTAATGCTATCCCCGTTTATGTACGCAACACATACTAGTATTAACGATTTCAAATAGTTACGAAAAAAAGTTTACAACCAGTATATAGGTTACCTTCTCTTGCGGTACATAGTTAATCTCTCGCGGTACAGTTCTCTTCTCGCGGTACAGTTATCTTCTCTTGCGGTACAGTTATCTCTCACGGTACAGTTATCTTCTCTTGCGGTACACAGTTACCTCACGGTACAGTTAGCTTCTCTTGCGGTACACAGTTATCTCACGGTACAGTTAGCTTCTCTTGCGGTACACAGTTATCTCACGGTACAGTTAGCTTCTCTTGCGGTACAGTTATCTCACGGTACAGTTAGCTTCTCTTGCGGTACAGTTATCTCACGGTACAGTTAGCTTCTCTTGCGGTACACAGTTATCTCACGGTACAGTTAGCTTCCCCGGTACACAGTTACCCCACGGTACAGTTATCTCTTGCTGTACAGTTATCTCTCACGGTACAGTTATCTTCTCTTGCGGTACACAGTTATCTCACGGTACAGTTATCTTTCTTGCGGTACACAGTTATCTCACGGTACAGTTAGCTTTGCGGTACACAGTTATCTCACGGTACATTTATCTTCTCTTGCGGTACAGTTATCTCACGGTACAGTTAGCTCTTTTGCGGTACACAGTTATTTCACGGTACAGTTATCTTCTCTTTGGTGGTACACAGTTACCTCACGGTACAGTTATCTTCTCTTGCTGTACAGTTATCTCTCACGGTACAGTTATCTTCTCTTGCGGTACACAGCTCTCACGGTACAGTTATCTCTTGCGGTACACAGTTATCTCACGGTACAGTTAGTTTCTCTTGCACACAGTTAGTTACCTCACGGTACAGTTAGCTTCTCTTGCGGTACACAGTTACCTCACGGTACATTTATCTTCTCTTGCGGTACACATTTATCTCAAGGTACAGTTAGCTTCTCTTGCGGTACACAGTTATCTTCTCGCGGTACAGTTATCTCACGGTACAGTTAGCTTCTTGACGATTGTAAACAGCATTAATGTATAGTATTGACCTTGACTTGGTTCAGGCGTATTGAGGGCTGCAAGTTGTCCCCATTGAAAACTGGATAAATATAGGTTAGGTTATATTAGGTCAGGTTAGGTTATATTAGGTCAGGTTAGGTTATATTAGGTCAGGTTAGGTTATATTAGGTCAGGTTAGGTTATATTAGGTCAGGTTAGGTTATATTAGGTCAGGTTAGGTTATATTAGGTCAGGTTAGGTTATATTAGGTCAGGTTAGGTTATATTAGGTCAGGTCAGGTTATATTAGGTTAGGTTTGATGTTACTATTTATTCAGTACATAATGTATTTTGTAGATGGTCGTATTTATTGCAGGATGACTACAGTGATTACAGTATTAGCTTGACACTTGAAGTACTAATGTGTGCGTGTGTATGTGTGCGTGTGTATGTGGCGTGTGTATGTGTGCGTGTGTATGTGGCGTGTGTTTGTGTGCGTGTGTATGTGGCGTGTGTTATAAACTTTAAGGTATTTTTTTTGTAGTTAGTTGCAAAATGCTATACTATTATTTACCGTCCATACATTCCGATGGTTAGGTTGATGAGGATTGTTTTTGTCCACAGTTGGGAAAGCAGTTGAGTTGGACGGAGCAAGTGACAGAGAATAGATCGCCCGCCATCACCAAGCCGCCACCATGGATGACGCCCATTGCTACCCCTTCGAGGACATTCTGCAGAAATTCGGTGTGAAAGAGGAATCCGGCCTTACTGACGCCCAGGTCAAGGACTACCAGGCGAAATATGGCCCCAACGGTAAGTGGTGGTGTGGTACTTGGGGTATTACTCACCAAATCTAGCTTCATTAAACCTGATCTAACCTCACTAAATCTAGCCTCACTAAACCTAACCTAGCCTCGCCAAACTTAGCCTCGTCAAACCTAACCTAGCCTCGCCTCGCCAAACTTAGCCTAGCCTTGCCAAACCTAGCCTCGCCAAACCGAACATAGCCTCGCCAAACTTACCCTCGTCTAACCTAACATAGCCTCAAACCTAGCCTAGCCTCGCCAAACTTAGCCTAGCCTTACCAAATTTAGCCTAGCCTCGCCAAACCTAACCTAGCCAAATCTACCCTAACCTAACTAGAGGGAATCTGGTGCAGTCTCACGTTTCCCGTTAGTTGGGGGGGATGGGGGGGGGGAAGAAGATTACCTCACTAATCTTAGATAATCCGGGACTTGGTTAAACTTCTCGTAGTGAGTGAGTGTTAACGCTAACGTGTGAGATCTTGATAAGCTTGTGTGACTTAGCATTTACTGTGAGATAGGAGGGGTGGGGGTTGCTGGCTTATCAGATAGACCCCCATCCATGTCTTAAATAGTGTATGTCTATTCTATTATCTCTCTCTCTTTCTCTCTCTCTCTTTCTCACCCCCCATCAAGAATAAAGTAATCAGAGTTGTTATTCTCCGCCCAACAGAATTACCGGCAGAAGAGGGCAAGTCACTCCTACAGCTCATTCTGGAGCAGTTTGATGACTTGCTTGTTAAAATCCTCCTGCTCGCCGCTATCATCTCTTTCGTGAGTATTGTTGTTGTTATTTGTTATTGTCATTGTTATTGTATTTGTTAGTCTTTGTTGTTTTTGTTATTGTTTTGTTGGTGGTTTTATTATTTATTATTGGTGAAGTGTCATTATTGTTGTTGTTGTTTTTTTGTTGTTGTTGCTGGTATTATAACTTAGTGTTGTTGTTAGAGGATGTTATCATGGTGTTTATTCATGCCTTCATCACTGTCATTGGCCGCCATTGTCTATCTTATCATTATTACAGCAGACTCATCATCATTATCCGTCATTATTAGTGTCATTATCATCATCGATCATTATTATTGTCGCCATAATTGCCTGTACACTCGTCTTTGGTATCAGGTCAGGTAAATAGCAACCTATCCCCCCTCCAACACCCTCCTCCTCCCCTCCAACACCCTCCTCCTCCCCTCCAACCCTCTCTTCCACACCCCCCTCCAACCCCCTCTTCCCCCTCCAACACCCTCTTCCCCTCACTGGATCCATGGGTTTGGGGTCTGAAAATAATACCATATTAATCTGGCGTCGACCACAGATTAGTATTTCACTTATTATTATTATTACTTATTTTTTTATCGGATCTGGAGTGATTTTTTTTTTTAGTTTTATTTCATAGTGGCGAGAGAGAGAGAGAGAGAGAGAGAGAGACTGTGGGTAAAATTCAACTGTTAGTCGTATTTTTAATGGAGCCAGTGATTACAAATGTAGATCACTAGACGAGCAAAAACAATGTTGATAATAATGTGTAAATAATATGATAAGTTTGTTTTGTTGTTAACTAAAAAACACAGAGGAAGAAAACTTGAGATTAGAGGAGTTTACTTGGTTAATCTCAGCATTGTTGTTGTTTATAGTGCTGGAAGAGGTGTAGTGTGTGTAGTGCTGGGTTACACTACACGCACAGGTGACCCCCTCTCTCTTACCTGTCGTGTGTGTGTGTGTGTGGTGACTCACTCGTAACGCCCCCCCCCCCCACTCCCTCCCCCGTGACCTTGTTGACTGCCTCCGTTTTATTTATCCTTGATGACGTAATGAAACCTTTAATCACCTGTGCTGCTGACGTCATAAACCTGAGCTGCTGACGTCATAAGTGTGGCAGCGTCGCAAGGGAAATATATTAATTAATTTAGTATTTTTATTATCTGTTGTTGTTTTTTGCTTCCTTGTTTATCAGCACCAGTATCATAGAGACACAAACAGGATGAATTTTTACGCGTATTTATTGAAACGTGTGCTTTCCTTTGTATTTAATCAGGAATACCCACAAAGGAAGTTGATAGGAAAGTCAGATACCCCGTGTCCTGGTTGGCAGACTGGCTGTTAGTGTCCACGTGTAGCATAACAGTAGACATATGGCTCAGATTGGCCTCTCTTGTGTGTGTGTGTGTGTGTGACGTGAGCGAGCTACTGGTGGCCACGGGGCGAGCGGTGGGTGGGTGGGTGGGTCTTGCCTCATACCACCTTCTGGAACATTGAGAGTTTCATCATGTCGACTACTCACTCTCGTATTCCTCCTCCTCCACCACCCACTTCCCTTCCTTCTTATTTCCTCCTCTTCCTTTCCTCCCACTCTCACCTCCTCCTCCTCCTCTTCCCCAAGTCTCGCAATAATTAATTAAGTGCAGGGTAGTTTTGTTGTGTTGTGTGCAGACATTACATAAGAACATAAGAAAATAAGGAGTCTGTAATAGGCGAGAACATGGTTAAGTATTGCTCAAGGCTAGTGCTGTTTGTCAGAGGAGAGGAGAGGGGGGGGTGGACATCGTTTATAAGCTGTTACGAGCGATAGGGGAAGTGTCTAGTGATAAAAATGTGAAGTGTTAGTTATTGATTGAGTTATGAAAGTCGGGTCTACACGGCGCTACTCCTACAGCTATGTTGTTGGTATTATTACTATTTAACTCTAGTCAGGTGGTTGATCACATGGTTAGGTTGTTGAGGTAACCCTACTTGTGGTGATGTCACTCTTGGTCGTCGTTCCTTGTGGTGATGTCACTCCTGGTCGTCGTTCCTTGTGGTGATGTCACTCCTGGTCGTCGTTCCTTGTGGTGATGTCACTCCTGGTCGTCGTGTCGTCCGTCAGTACAGTCGTTGTTAACCTTTTACATCGGGTGTTACCTGTAATGCTGCCCCACTCACCCTGCTGCCCCACTCACCCAGCTGTCACACTCACCCCGCTGCCCCACTGGTCACCTCCCCCAAGCCAGGTAGACGGCGCACCTGGTCACCTCCCCCAGGCCAGGTAGACGGTGCACCTGGTCACCTCCCCCAGGCCAGGTAGACGGTGCCCCTGGTCACCTCCCCCAGGCCAGGTAGACGGTGCACCTGGTCACCTCCCCCAAGCCAGGTAGACGGTGCACCTGGTCACCTCCCCCAAGCCAGGTAGACGGTGCACCTGGTCACCTCCCCCAGGCCAGGTAGACGGTGCACCTGGTCACCTCCCCCAAGCCAGGTAGACGGTGCACCTGGTCACCTCCCCCAAGCCAGGAGACGGCGCACCCGACACCGTTGGTTACCTACATTAGCCGGTCAGGCGGTGGACTAAAACCTACAGAAAGACGTCTCTGCTCTCACCATGGTGACATGATGACGTCTTCCCCATGATGACGTCTTACCCCCATGATGACGTCTTTACCCCTATGATGACGTCTTCCATGATGACGTCTTCCATGATGACGTCTTCCCCATGATGACGTCTTCCATGATGACGTCTTACCCCATTTTATGACCCTCCCCCATGATGGACCAACGATACATTACTTCCACACGGGGCGGAACCAGTAGGAGTGGCCAGTAGGGTGTTGCGTTACCTCCTCCGGGTGTTCCGAGCGAAGGTTCCCGGACCAGTGTGTGTGGGGGAGGAGGTGGTGGTGGTTGGGGGTTACGTTTGTCCTTGGGGTCGTGTACGGAGACCATTGCCCAACTTAGTTCAGAATGTTGATAAAATTCCACTTCCACGTTATGGGCAGGACGTGACGTGGCTCTTCTAACACCACCTCTTCCCTCTTCTTCACCTTCTCTTCTATTCCTTCTCTTGTTTCTATTCTTCCTCCATCCATCCATTATATCTCTCCTGCCTTGCTGCCTCATTTCTTTCTCTCTCTCTCTCTCTCTCGGGAAGAATGCAATTTAGTTGGGGTTTGTGGAACTCGGGTGAGATATTGGCTCAGTGGGAGGGACCCGTCCAACCCGCTGCCCGGGTAGTGGGGGTCTGATTCAGGGTCCCGTGGTCGTGTTTTCGGGGCCCTGAAGAGGGGGGTGATCCAGGGTCTTGTAGTGGTGGGGGGTTAAGGCAGTTCAGGGTCTTGTGGTGGAGGGTTATGGCCGTGTTCTCAGGGTCTTGTGGTGGAGGGTTATGGCCGTGTTCTCAGGGTCTTGTGGTGGAGGGGTGATGGCTGTGTTCTCAGGGGCCTTGTGGTGGAGGGTGATGGCCGTGTTCTCAGGGCCTTGTGGTGGAGGGTTGGGCTGTGTTCTCAGGGCCTTGTGGTGGAGGGTTGCGGCCGTGTTCTCAGGGTCTTGTGGGTGGAGGTGTTTCCTTGTGGTGGAGGGTTATGGCCGTGTTCTCAGGGCCTTGTGGTGGAGGGTTATGGCCGTGTTCTCAGGGCCTTGTGGTGGAGGGTTATGGCCGTGTTCTCAGGGTCTTGTGGTGGAGGGTTATGGCCGTGTTCTCAGGGTCTTGTGGTAGTGAGAGGTTGGGGGGTAGACTTTTTGAACTGTTCAGGAGACATTGGGTAAGAAAGTGTGGATATAACGCGCAAAATTGATCCTGGTCCGCGGGAAAGAGGCGGGAAGCTCTCTCCGTCCGCCAGGCTGGGGGGAGGTTCGCGCCATTGAAGGCATACTGTTGCGGCTACCACCACCACCACTAGCTGGGGGTTCATCCACACAGTAAACTTGGTTACTGGACACTCCCAAGAACGGGTCGGTCGCTTGGTTGAATCCCCGTGAAGGCCGGCGACATAAGAACTCGGTGAGAAATCTAGAGGGGAAGCTGTTGGTGGATCACGTGACAGGTGACGTCACTTCTCTGACGTGTGTGCTTGCGTCATTCAAGGTTGGGGTGTAGAGGAGAGGCTGCCTGGCAAGATGTTTAATGATTTGTTCCCGTAATTGTGTTCCAAGTAAATAATTCATTGTATTTAATTAGGGAAAAAATAAATATTCTGCTTGTGTCACTTGTTTTTCGGGGGAGTGACTGTGACCTGATGGTGGGAGGAAAGTCATTAGTTGGTAACCTCAGCGGGAGTGTGGTGGCGTTTGTTGCCGTTTCATATTTCTATTTGTTAGCGAGCCTCCTGGTTGGTCGCGGGTGCACTAGTATCTCGCCTCTAACATTGCTTCCGAGTGTGTGTATGTGCGCGTGCGTATGTATATGTGTGTGCGTGCGTGCGTATGTGTGCGTGCGTGCCTGCCTGCCTGCCTGCCTGCCTATGTATGTATGTATGTATGTGTGCGCGTGCGTATTTGTGCGTGTGTATGTGTGTGCGCTCCCTTAAGAGACTCAGGTGTCGCAGGTAATTGTTGATCAGCACAGGTGTCAGGCACAGCCGTCATCAGGGACCCACACTTGAGCCACCACCATTTTTACTGGTGTGTGTGTGTGTGTGTGTGCAATGGTCAGCATACTCGCCTCGCAAGCGAGAAGACCTGGGTTCGATCCCCGGGCAAGGTAAAACTAGGGGCAAGTTTCTTTATGCCATTTGCCTCTGTCTACCCAGCAGTAATGGTTAGCCAGTGCAGTTGGCGAGTTGTCCGGTCTTCTCGGAATATTCCTTGACTTTGGATCATGCAATTCGTTAACTTAGGGTGTGGTTGTTGATGTTGGCGACAGCTTCTACACCTGAAACAAATTCACGCCTAGGTGGCCCTTGGGTCGGCCATCCTCGCTACACGAGAGGCAACTATTATTATATGTGTCGTCACGTCTTTCACTCCATCTTTTATTGTGCTCTGTTGTTTATCCTTGTTATTTATTTATTTTTTCATTTCTCGGTCGATTATGTTGAAATCACGAAGGGGAAAGTGCCGTAGGTGTGGAGTTTGAGGTGTTATACTAAGTTGGTTGGTGAATCCACGAGGCGGATGTCCGATTGTTTCTTCGTCTCATTATTTTCACTGAAGGTCTAAAATTACAACACGATAGCGAGCAACACGAGAGTTTAACCAAGATACGGTACGGCTCAACTCATGTACCGGCCATCTATACCTCAAGGGGAAAATTACACAGGTGTTTGGGTAACCGGACTGAGTGGAGCGCGATTGTGTGTGTTTGAGTGAGTGAGTGTGTTTGTGTGTCGCGCCAATTATCCACAACACCGAGAATTTCATTATACCCAGGTTGAGATTATACGAATTTTAATTAATTTATTTTTTTCGTGTCAAATATAATTACTTGTGTAGTAAAGACAGACAGGAAATGGTAGCGCTCCACCCTCTATCACGTTATCGGTGGGTAATCTGAGTATACATCCTCCACGTCTCAGTCCACGTCGCCTCCCTCCTCTTGGCTGGGCTCTGTGGCACTACTGTTGTATGGATAATCAATTGATGGCTCACTACTTCTGCTGCACCGTGAACTGTTAGTGGTGATTGGTGACGCTTATCGGTGATGGTGTCTAATATTGTAAGGCGGTAAACAAAGAAAATGGTCGCTTGTTACAATTTCTCACTGGGGGGGGTCGCTTGTTACAATTTCTCACTGGGGTACCTGTATGATTGTCAGTAAGAGTTTACCCATCAACGAGGTAGTTGAGGTTGCCAGGTACAGAGAGGTTTGGATTGTGTTGTCCGTATTTTTATCACCTTCGTTGTTGATCTCAATTTAGTATGTAGTTCTGCTAAAGGAGGGTGGTAAATTTCCTTAGTCACGTCACACTGGGTGTTTTTAGTCACGTCACACTGGGAGTTTTTAGTCGTCACACTGGGGAGTTTTAGTCACGTACACTTTGGTGTTTTAGTCGTCACACTGGGGTTTTAGTCACGTCACACTGGGGTTTTTAGTCACGTCACACTGGGGTTTTTAGTCGTCACACTGGGTGTTTTTAGTCACGTCACACTGGGAGTTTTTAGTCACGTCACACTGGTAGATTTTAGTCACGTCACACTGTGGGAGAAGGCCATGTAGTAACGAGTGTGTATGTATGTGTGGTAATTAAAAAAAATTTGGTTTATTGGTAAATATTTACGTCTGATGGTGGCGCTTGTGGGCGGCTGTTGGTTCTAGGGTCTTAACTACTCTCCTTGGTTGTTTGGCTAATCTGAGTGTCCATCGTGGAACTAACTACACCAAGATGTTATGGAGACGAGTCAAATAGGTGAGGAATGTTTGCTCTCGTGTCTAGAAATACATATCGCCCCCCCCCCCTCATATCCCCCTTCACCTCCCCGTTCTCTCTCACTCACCCCCCATCATTCCCGAAATTGACAGGTGAGGTAGGTATAGACAGGTAAGATGAGAGGTAAATCTAGCACAGGTATGTTATGGCGTGGGGAAGTAGGGTGGATGAAGTGATGATCTCTGTTTACCTCTTCCTTCCTCCTCTCCCTCTCCCCCTCCTCCCCCCCCTCCCCCTGGGCTTGTTACCCACCCTCTCCCTGTTTGGTGATTAGTGAGGTGGTTAGTGAGGTCGAGTCTTGGTTTCATATCGACGTCATATTTATCCCGTTTGATGCGCCGTTGAGGGGGCAGGGTTGAGGGGTAGGTGGGGTGGGGGGAGGGCAGAGGTAGGGGTAGGTGGCGGGAGGGGGAGGGCAGAGGTGGGGGGAAGCTGTGAGAATACGGACCCAGGTATTGGAGTGGCGGCCTGCGTTTGATAGACAAGGTAAACTGTTAGTGAAGAGTAGGTCGAGAGGAGAGGGGCGTGCCACCCACCCACCCACCCGCCCGCTACCCCGCCCGCCCGCAACCCCGCCCGCCCACAACCCCTCTCTTCCGCCACCTCCGCTCACTCACACACACCCAAGACTCAAACCCGTCTTCTTTGTTGCTGTATAAAGACAGTAGTAGTAGTAGTAGTAGTAGCAGCAGTAGTAGTAGTAGTAGTAGTAGTGGTAGGACGTGAACCAATGAAGGTGATTTGGTCATTACAAGTGAACCTGACCACTCCACACAGCCCCGGGTCAGCTATTTATTAAGGTGTGGATGGTGGTCAGCTGTTATGGTGAGGAGAGGGCTGACTTGTACACTTTACAACCTACACCCCTCATCCACACCCCGTCATCCCCCCCTCATCCACCCCCCCTTACACCCCCCCTCACCCACACCCCTCATCCCTCTCCCCTCACCCCACCTCCCTCACCCTCTCCCTCCACCACACTCTCCCTCACCCCACACCCCCCTCTCCCACCCCACCAGCAGTAATATTTGAGAAAGTGGGCGGCATGGGTAATATAGTGAGGAAAGTGTGCCAGCATGGGTTAATAAGAGAAGGTGTGGGCGGCATGGGTAATAATATTAACTAACTGGGTGGTGTGGAAGATGTGGCAAGGTGTGGCAGCCCTGACCTGACCTGTGGTGTGGTTGGTAATTTTTTTTTTTTTCATACTGTAGTGAATGTGAGGCCGGCCAGATTGAGCCAACTGTACTACACGAGGGGGTGAGAAAGTTACAGCTGTAATGACTGTAGGGGAACTCTCTCTCTCTCTCTCTCTCTCTCTCTCCTGTATGGAAGTCCCCGGGCAGGGTGAAACTATGGGCAAGTTTCTTTACGTCATTTGCCTCTGTCTACCCAGCAGTAATTGGGGACCTGGATGTTAATCGTGTTCCGGGGTAATGGTTAGCCAGTGCAGTTGGCGAGTTGTCCGGTCTTCTCGGACTATTCCTTGACACTGGGGCCATACAAGTCGTTAACTCAGGGTGTGGTGGTTGTGTTGGCGACAGCTTCTACACCACAAACAAATTCACGCCATTATGTGTTCTGTGTGCGTTTCCCGGCAGAGTTCATTAAGCTCCCCTGTGTTTATCATATCACGTCTGTTACTATTTATATACGACGACCAGAGTTGTGTCGTGTGGGAGTGATAATGAAGACAGCACGAATAACACCAGGTAGTGAGATGGCATGGGGTTAGGTTAGGTTTGGTTAGGTTTGGTTTGGTTAGGTTTGGTTTGGTGTGTGTGTGTCTGGTTCCTTGTGTGTTAAATTTTCTTGGTAGTCGTCCTTCCATCCTCCATCCATCATCCTTCTTTCCTTTCTCCTCTCCTTCCTTCCTCCGTTCACATCATCCTTTACCCCTTCGTTCACTTCCTCCTTCCGGAAAACAGGCCCGACCAAGTATGGGGAAAGTGGCCTCCAGTCGTATGTCAGCCCCCCCCCCTCCTCCTCCTCCTGCCGCAGGTGTTGTCAGCCACTTTCACTCTCCACCGCCCAAGGATTCTCGTCACCGTCTGTTGTAATTTGTACCAGTTGACTTGTTAGAAGGAACGCGGGGGTGTTGTGTCAAGTCGCCCCGTGTGCGTAATGTGTGGTGAGTGTGCGTAGTGTGTGTGTGTGTGTGTGGGGGGGGGGACTGTTACCTCGGGATATAATGTGTGTGTAAGCTGTGTCACTAATGATCAATTAATTCACATTCACTCCAGAGATGATTACCTCGCATTTCCTCAAGATTGACCCAGATTTCTTTTTTAATCCCAACAGGTCCTGGCCTGCTTCGAGGAGGGAGAGGAGACCGTCACCGCCTTCGTCGAGCCCTTCGTCATCTTGCTGATCCTGATCGCTAACGCCATCGTCGGCGTGTGGCAGGTAGGTTAACCCTTCTTGGTCTCTAGAGCCACATTGTGTTGAGGCCTCTACCATACTGTGGCCGCTCTCAACACCACCTCAGGCCCCTTGTATGGAGAGCTCACCACTTTAACACTGCAGGACTGATCGGCTTGTCTGCCCTCACCTGCGTTAAAGGAGAGGATATTGGTGAAGGTGGTGCTGCTTCACTACCACTTACCTCACTACCACTCCTCTATACTCCACTTACCTCAGACCTATACAGAGGTTTGAGCACAGTGTGGCACCTTAAAGGGAGATATGTGGTGCATCATGGGAGCTTACAGAATGTTAAGGGGGGGGTGATGTGGCGTGTCGGGGAGTAGAGTTTTAGTGTGTTATATATGGTGTGGGTGGTGGTCACGGTGTATAGGCCCGGGGGAGGAGGAGACATCACCCTTCACCCAGCAGCTGGTGTGTGTCTCTCCGGGTGTTGCATCATCAACTGGGGGGATCAGTGATGCGTCGTTAATGCTCCACCATTTAGCGTCATCCACACCGCGTGCTTCAGTAGAGGGGTGGCCTTACTGTCCATCTGAGGAAACTTTTTTTTGTCTCAGACTGACAATGCTGCTAATGACTTTGGTTAGGGGGAAGTTCAGTGGACAGTGTAGAGGGGGGGTGTGTTCTGTTAGTTTAAGTTAGTAGTGTAGGTGGTAGAGGCTAGCAGGACGGTAGGTGTGTTCTGCTCTGGTGCAAGTTGTGAGCAGTTAGGTGAGGAGAGAGAACAGGTGAGAGGGACTGGAGTGGAGTGGTTGGTGAGGTATGGTGTTAAGTGTGGCGGTGATGGAGAGCCTCAAGGAGCTCTTCCCCACGAGTGGAGGCCGCCAAGCACACCCTGGAGTGTGAGAACAACCCTGGAGGATCACTTAGTCCCCCTGGAGCTCCACCTATTACTCGTCCCCTTTCCTCTAGACCATCTACTTCACTTCTTCTCCATTGTATTAGTTAAAGAAAAAAAATATAGAGAGAGCTAAAGGGACTTGTAACCCCGACTCAAAGCACTTCACCTGTTGCAGTATCATGTGACATGGGGTGTATGTGAGGCACTTTCTGACTCCTACGACCATCCCAGTAAATGTTTGTTTGCTGTTATTCAATAGTGGAGCTGTGGATTGGTTATAACTGGCGCACTAAGACTGTTAGAAATGGGGAGGTGGTGTAGGGGCAGGTTGTGGTCCCATATAGACAATGTGTGTGTGCCGGGGTGAGGGTAGGGCAGGTGAGGGGTACTTGGGTCGGTATTCTGCAGCGTTAAACAAGAAGTATCGAGGCTCTTGGGTTATGTGGTCCCCTGAAGCTGTGTGTGGGGGGGATATAGGCGCCCGCCCTCTCGGTACCTCGACGAGTGGGTGGAGTGGGAGTGAGCTTCGAGTCCACATGGAGGAGAGAGACAAAAAAAGAGGGAGAATATTACACACTGTAGCCACTATAACCTACGTCACCGCCGCCTACATGTGTACGAATAATGACACAGACACACACACTGACGATCTTAACTTTTTGCCTGCTGGTGTTGTGAAACTGGGATTGTGAGACGGGTTGTGATGGTGGGATAGTGGTGTTGTAATTGTAAGACGGGTTGTGATGCTGGTGTTGTGAAACTGGGATTGTGAGACGGGTTGTGATGGTGGGATAGTGGTGTTGTAATTGTGAGATGGGTTGTGATGCTGGTGTTGTGGTGCTGGTTATGATGGTGTTTAGGAACCGTGGAAAGGTAATTAGTCGGTTGTGGATCTTATTGGCAGTGATGGTTGCTTGATGGTGATAGTGTGTGTTGAGGGAGGGGCGTGTCTGTAGGCTATTTCCACCGGCAGAGGCAGTGGTCTGTTCCTTCCACGACGCTGGTGCCAAACACGCCCCCGCTGCCACCACCTGCCGGGGAAGGGAGACAAGAAGTGATGGGGGAGGGTCGAAGAAAAAAATCAATACAAATTATGACGTATAAATTATGGTGGTGATGATGGTGATTATGGTGGTGATGGTGATGTGTGAGAAACAGCTGGTCGGTGGTAATATTCTAGTGTGTGTGTGTGTGTGTGTGTGTGTGTGTGTGTGTGTGTGTTAAAGGGTACATACACACAAGCACAAAACTAGTTGAGAAGCCTTAAATGTTGTTGCTGTCCCCACGCCCGCGCCTTCCTCACTGCTCATCCCCACTCAAAATCTGTCCTCAAATAGGTGATGAAATTGTCGTTTGCCAGGTGAGGAGAGCTGTGAGGATAGTGGGGAGGAGAGGTGTGAGGATAGTGGGGAGGAAAGGAATGGGAGTAGAGAAGAGGGGGGGTGGGAGTGGGGTGCATAGGTTGGCAAGTGTTCAAGTTTCTATTCACGTCCGTAACTGTTCTAAAGGCAACTGTGTGGTGCCCCCATCCCTATTCCCTATCCCCTACCCCTTCTCCCCTTACCCATCACACCCCCTCTCTTTCTCCTCTTTCCCTCACCTCCCCTGCAACAAAATCTCTCTCTCTCTCTCACAAAGAACTTGAGAAATAGGTACCTTGAGGACGGCAGTGTGCCACCTGCTCTCCCCTTTCTCCCTCCTCTGCCCCCCTCCCACTCCTTCCTCCCCCTTCCTCCCCCTTCCTCACCGCCGTATCGCGTCCAGCTCTTACCTTCACACTGTCCAGGTAATCATACACTGGTCCAGGTAACTCGCACACTGGTCCAGGTAATTCATACACTGGTCCAAGGTACCATACACTGGTCCAGGTAACCGTACACTGGTCCAGGTAACTCATACACTGGTCCAGGTAACTCATACACTGGGTCCAGGTAACTAACACACTGGTCCAGGTAACTCATACACTGTCCTACTCGTCGTTACTTGTGTGTATGTACCACTGAGGACGCGTGTGTGTGTGTGTGTGTGTGTGTGTGTGTGCGCGCGTGTGTGTGTCCCGATGGTCAAGTGATTAAAGACGTTGTGTTGACGATTATAGTAGAGACTTAGCCGTATAGGGGAGGGTGGTGGCTGTAGAGGATATACTGTAGATAAGGGTGGAGGTTGGTTGATCTCAGAGGCAGGAGAGGAGTGTGTGTGTGTATGTTATGGAAAGGTTATTTGGGTAGGTGGGGGATGGAACAGGAGGATAGGATTGTGAGTAACTGTGATTCTTGGACTGTTTTGTTGACGCGATGCTGACTCTCTCTCTCTCTCTTCTCTCTCTCTCTAATACTGTATAGAGGGGTAGGGTGTCATGAGGCGCTGGTAGCTATAGGGAAGAGGCCAGTTCAAGCTCTCCTCCTCTACCGCATCACTGAGGCGCGCGTGTTTGGTGTTTAATGAGCGCTGACTGACTACCTCTAGTAAAGATAACAGCGTCCTCTTACCCCCCTCCCTTGGCACCCCCCTCCTCCTACCTCCTTCAGGAGTGCAGCCGGCCAGGTCGTCTCCCGGCCACAATATGTTGGTGACGCCCCGGTAGGTATGTCACCCCATGCTATTTACGGAGGCCTCACTGTTTCTTCCTCCCCCTCTTCTTCCGTCCCCCACTTAACCTACATTCCCTCTACACCCCCATCTCTTCCCTCCCCCCCCCTGCACCCCATATCTTCCTCCTCTACACACACACACCCCCCATCTCTTCCCTTCCCTCTCACACACACCCCCCATCTCTCTCCCTCCCTCTTTTCACCTTCTATCCCCTATAAAGTTCTCTCCTTTTAATTGACTCCAACTCTAATTATTCACGTGTGTGTGTGTGTGTGTGACTAATGATTGATCAGTCCTCACAGTGATGGACATAATCATTCAGAGTGTGGTGACTGCTGGGGGTAAGCTTAGATGCGGCGGGCGTGTGTGGAGGTGTGGTAGTAGGTGGGTGTGTGGTAGGGGTGAGGTGTGGTAGGGAGGGGGAACTGAACTGAGGGAAGAGCTAAGGTGGTAGAGGCTGTATTTGGCTGGAGGAACCCACACCCCCTCCCACCCCACCCCCTGTCATCCCTGATGGTAATGGCTTCCTATCGTATTGTGGCACCAGCGTCCAGTACATGCATTATTCAGGAGTCGATTAATTTTTTTCTACCCTCCTTTCCTCCCCCTTCCTTCCCTCCTTCCGGCAAGATTAAGGTGTTAGTTATTGACGTGGAGCCGTAACTGTTTGACTGGTGGTGGGGAAGGTAGTGGTGGCTCCTGTGACAATGCCATGACCTCATAATGCAGAAGTACACACACACACACACACACACCAGCGTGCGCAATACAGGTACTGAGGCAGCAACCTGATGGCTGATTGATGTCTAAATATTTATCTGTTGCGCGGTACATTGGCTAGTACGTGTGACCCTGGATATATGTGTGTGTGTGTGTGTGCGCCTGGTAATGGTGTAGAAGTAGGTGAAGTATTGTACGGTACACAGGTGCTGCCGTCAGTAGGTCACATTCGTCACCGCTGCCTACAGTGGGTGTGTGTGTGTGTGTGTGTGTGTTAGGGAGTTTGTTATGAGCGGCCCTGTATATAGCAGCCGTTGGTATTGTTGTTCCCAGGAGTGAGACTTGTTGCTGTATCTAAGTCGTAAGTCCGTCACGAGTGTGGGTTATGGCCGACTCACACACACACTCTCACTGTGATAACCTTTGTCTCTCTCTCTCTCCATCCTCCTTCTTTATTGTGGAATTGTGTTTTCTCTCTGTTTAATTACATTTCCTGATTCCTTCCCCTTATCTGTGTTCCTCCATACCTCGTCCTAAATTTCTTCAGTTTACGAACTATTAAACCTCCTCCCCCTCCCCCACCCCCTTCTGGTTCACACATCGTAGGGGGGCGGGGCAGTTCGACGTACGGGGAGGAACAATTCGACGTACGACCCGTTAAAGATCCTCCTGGCTGGCGTGGTTAAAAAAAAAATCTCTCTCGGATGTGGGTGACTGAAAAAGGTGTTCTTGTTCACAATGTCCCTCCCACTCTCCGCTTTTGTTCAATGGCGCCTTTGTTCATTGTGACGGCTGTGTTCTCTTGTTCACCTCGGCCTGCTTGTTGTACGAGAGAGAGAGAGAGAGAGAGAGACCCTATTCCATGGACATATTAGTCTATGTATTTTATTGTCTGGCAGTAATACTCTTTCTTTAACCAAACATAAAGATGCGAATTTTGTTGTGTGTGTGTGTGCGCGCGCCACCAGATGTCTCGGGCCGATAAGACACACACCCTACTTGACCTTACTTGTTGACCTTTCCCTCATTAACCTAACCTTTTGTGTGTGTGGGTCAGGAAGGTCACAAGCTTTCCTGTTGGTACTTTAATCGCTTTTGTGTACAGGATGCAAGGGGGTGCCCAATAAACTAGCCCCCTCCAACACTACCACCACCACCAGCCTCCAACACTACCACCACCACCAGCCTCCAACACTACCACCACCACCAGCCTCCAACACTACCACCCCACCAGCCTCCAACACTGCACCCACTGCCACCAGCCTCCGCGCTACCCCACCTGGCCTCCAGCACTGCCACCACCACCAGCCTCCAACAACACCACCACCACTAGCCTCAACACTACCATGTCACCCAGCCTCCCTTACTACTGCATCACCACCACCAGCCTCCAACACTGCATCACCACCACCAGCCTCCAACACTACCATCACCACCACCAGCCTCCAACACCACCACCACCACAGCCTCCAACACTACCATCATCACACAGCCTCCAACACCAACACTACCATCACCACCAGCCTCCTTTTCTGTCCTACCACCACCAGCCTCCAACACACCACCACCAGCCTCCAACACCACCACCACCAGCCTCCAACACCACCACCACCCAGCCTCCACTCTACCAGCCTCCTTTACCACCACCACCAGCCTCCAGCACCTGCACCGCAGCCTCCCACCCACCACCACCAGCCTCCAACACCACCACCACCCACCAGCCTCCAACACCACCACCACCACCAGCCTCCAACACCACCACACCACCCAGCCTCCCAACACTACCGCTCATCACCCACCCACCGGTCTCAGCACCACCTAACCTCCAACACTACCATCACCACCACCACCAGCCTCAACACTACCACCAGCCTCCACCACCATCCTCAACACTACCATCACCACCACCAGCTCCCGCACTGCATCACCACCCGCAGCCTCCAACGCTACCATCACCACACACCTCCAACACTACCATCACCACCACCACCAGCCTCCAACACTACCATCACCACCACCAGCCTCCAACACTACCATCACCACCACTCACTCCGGGAACCTCACCTTCGCCCCAGTAAACACCGTATCGACCTCCCTCTCTTTCTCCCTCTCCCTTTTCCTCTCCTTTTGCTCTCTCTCCCTTGCCCTCTCTCCCTTCCTCACCTTTTGCTTTCTTTGCTTGTATGCTCTCTCTCTCTCTCTCTCTCTCTCTCTCTCTCTCTTGTATTTCATATAACTGGAGGTGTTGTGTTTGGGTGGTTAATCTTTAGCTGGTCCACACAAATTGAGAGAGAGTGAGTTAATGAGGCACTCAAGGAGGTTATTGCGACATTGTGATTTAATAAGGGAACTGTATTAACATATTATTAGCATATTATCCATAATAAGTGTGTGTGTGTGACCCAGTGGTGGGCGGGTGGCCTGAGCCCTCCCCTTTACCCCAGCCAGGAGTGTTGTAGCTAGCGTCGCCACCTGCTAGCTAGAGACACACACACACACACACACACACACAGTCAGAAATCTGGTATGACCCCGAACTGACTTCTGTAGTAGGGTACTCGAGAGCATTTGTCATGAGGGAGGTCCTTCTCTTCTCTCAAATGAGTGTATAAATGTTTAATGAACCCGTGTTACTCTTATGCACAGTCTATTAGATCAGATTAAAGGCAGCTGAAGAATAACAGATACTACTTCTTGAGCACTTATCACCTCACCTTAGCTAGACCAACTTGGTGTGTGAGAGGGGAGGAGGGGAGGGGGGGGGGGGTAGTCTGGATGTATGTGGTAGAAGTTAATGTTTGTCACCCTTGTTAGGTTAGGATTTATTGTAGCTACAGTGTGTTGATGTGAACGTCTGTAGAGTTGTAAGTTAAATGAAGCCTTTAGTCTCGTTCGCTGGGGAGCTCTTGTGTACAGGGTGATGCAAACAAAATAAAATTCAGTAAATACTTTAAGATGATGTCAAAATTTTGTTGCTGTATTGTGAAGGGACAGCACTCCTAATGTATTATACAGTGAGTGTGGTGGTGACTCGTAATGGCGGCCTTGTGGTAGTACTGTAGCGTGCGGTCTACGAGACGGTTAGGTTTGTGTAACGAGGATGGCTGGCCCAAGGTCCACCTATGCGTGAATTTGTTTAAAGTGTAGAAGCTATCGCCAACACAACAACCACACCCGGAGTTAACGAGTTACATGACCCAACTGCACTGGCTAACCATTACCCCGGAACACGATTAACATCCAGGTCCCCAATTACTGCTGGGTAGACAGAGGCAAATGGCGTAAAGAAACTTGCCCATAGTTTCACCCTGCCCGGGGATCGAACCCGCGACCACTCACTTCCGAGGGTAGCATGCTGACCAATACACCACAGGTCGCCATACATACATACACACATACATACATACATACATACATACATACATACAGCAGTAAGAGAGTAGAAGCAGGAGTGAGGGAAAGTTGTGTTCCGTGGGCCAGACACTTCATGCTTGACCTTTGGTTGACCTCACGTGATGTGGGGGAAGACACCTACCTCCCGAGAGTGGTGAAGTGGCAACACCTGGTGGAAGGAGCTGTTGTGTTGCGGGTAGGGGGAAGGTCTGCCTGACTGCCTTACATGTTGTGTTGCTGTACTGAGTGAGGCAGGAGGTGAGGTGTTTTATCCCGAAGGTGGACTGCCAGGTGAAGTATTTCCGCCCAGGTTATTGGCTCTCTCTCTCTCTCTGTGTGTGTGGAGGTTGTTGGGGGAGGAGAGAGGAGAGGAGTAAGAGGCCAACAAACTCCCCAGCTGAGCGATAATTGCCATATATGGCGACCCAGCCCTGGCAATGGCGGGGCACCTGGCCACGATCTCGCCCCTCCTCCACACCTCTCCCCACACACCCTCTCTCTCTCTCTCTCCCCCTACACACTCCCTCTCTCTCCCCCCCTACACACTCCCTCTCTCTCCCCCTACACACTCCCTCTCTCTCTCCCCCTACACACTCCCACTCTCCCCTTGCCAGCCGTACCCGAAAGTCTTCTTCGTTCCTATCCACTGTACTGTACTTCGAGTTGCCCTCAGAGACACATGGGGGTGGTTGGCCCTGTATGTGAGGGTTATCAGATGGCTTCGGTCGGCTAGGTGGAGGGCGTGGGGAGGCGGCGGTTGGGAGGCCTGTGGAGGGAGGGGCGGGCGGGGAGGAGGAGGCGGTGGGGTGGGTGGGTGGTTGGTGGAGTGGTGGTGGGAGGCGGAGTGGCTGGGGGCTGGCGGAGGAGCGGTGGGTGGGAGGTTTGGCTGGGCAGGTGGGGTAGGGGCAGGTGGGGTAGGAGGCTCTGCTGCTAGGAGTGGGCGGGTGGGGTTGGGAGGCTCGGCTAGGAGTGGGCGGGCGGGGTTGGGAGGCTCGACTAGGAGTGGAGTGGGCGGGTGGGGTAGGGAGGCTTGGCTAGGTGGAGTGGAGTGGGCAGGCGGGGTGGGTGTTTAGCTGATACGATCCTACGAACTTATAATGTGAAGACTAACATAATTGAGCGTTTTTGCTTGAATACACTTGGCGTTTTAATTGTAGACAGACTTTGCATACAGGAATTCCAGCCTGTGTGAGATTTCCTGTTTCTCTTCACACGGTGGCAACATGATGGTGCGGCCACAGGATATAATGTTAGAGAGATCCTGAGTTAAAATGGCTTTCAGCGTGAATAATTTCCTGGAGTTGGTTAATGTTTTACTGTGCGCGCGCGCGCGCGAACGAAGACTTCTCAGTGATAAACAGTATTTATCTGGTAGTCGTGTGTGTGTGTTTATAAATTTTTTCACATATATTATTATATAAACTGACATAGTAATTTATACAGACAGGCATTGTCATTATTATTGTATTTTTTCTTACGTTAATATACTACCCACACATAATTAACCAAATGTTGTTGTCGTCCCCAGGAGCGGAATGCGGAGTCGGCCATCGAAGCCTTGAAAGAGTATGAGCCAGAGATGGGCAAAGTGGTGCGTGCCAACAAGGCCGGCGTGCAGAAGATCCGTGCCAGGGAGATTGTGCCTGGAGACATGGTTGAAATCTCCGGTAAGTCACTCACACTCCACCGTATTTCACTGTCATGCACTTCACCATATTTCACTGTCATGTACTTCACCATATTTCACTGTCATACACTCTACCATCATTGTACAGTGTAGTGAACAAGTTGCTTGCCTTTGTTAGTCACTGTTTGAGGGAGAACACTTCCTTGTTTGTTCATTGTATGGACGAGTGAGTGACCCTCCTGACGATGACAACAGAGAAGAGTTACCTGTCAGTGTTAGATGCCAGCAGTTGGTTTTGTTATATATACTGTACTGTAGTGCACAAGTACTGTATTCTCGTGTGCAGTTGTTAGCTTCTCTTAATTGAATTGTTAAATCGTTCTCTTACTCTTTGTTTGTGGGAATTATTTAATAACTCAAAACAGATGATTTGATGAGTTTATATATTATACAGTACAGTATTTATATAAAACTGAAATTGTGTAATATAATTATTTACCTCAACTCTAAGTTTGTCAGAATTTATTTGGCATTATTATTAGTGCTTTTTTTTGTACCATTTACTGTACTTATACCGAGATAGACCAGTGACGACATCCTGCTTTTACAGTTGGTGACAAGATTCCCGCAGATCTTCGTCTGGTCAGGATCTTTTCCACGACCCTCCGTATCGACCAGTCCATCCTGACTGGAGAGTCCGTTTCCGTCATCAAGCACACCGATGCCATTCCCGACCCCAAGGCCGTTAACCAGGTTGGTCCCTCTCTTGCCTCCTCATCAGTTAATGAAACAGTTCTGATTATATTCCTTTATTCTGAGTGGCAAAATAATCTTTAACAAGGATCAGAGTTTTAAGGCTATAAAGTGCATACTCCACTGTGGAGCCTTTGATCTGCTCACATGTTCTTGGTGTGACCCTCTCCAAGCTCTCTTTTTAATACCATTCTGTGTATTCCCATACTAACAGGGAATATTGCCCCTTAGGTGTTCCTGTGTACCAATGTTAGATGTTTACTAACAACGAAATGCATTTCCTCATTAACTATAGTTTCTTTATCAGACCTTTAGTGAGCAGACTCTGTCAAGTGATCATACACAACATTGATTAAAATAAAGAGACTACCAAAGGAATTTTTAAACATGTCTTCGTATCATACCAGAATTTGAAGGTAGTTTTTATTTTTATTTTTAAAAATTAGCACATAAGCTAAAAGTAACTACTGTACCTGTAGTTGAGCATACAGTGCAAACCTTGTTCATTTTACAAGCACGCAGACATGGATGGGGCGAGTATTGCTCGTGCCATTATTCAGGTAAAGAATCCAAAATCTACCTCTGGTCCCCTAATCCTTTACTTTTAAATATAAGAGTTGTTTGCTAGTATGCTTACTGTCTGGTCACTACCACCTGTTCTCTCAGCCCACCTCTCTCTCTTTGTGTCCATGTCTGCAGTTTACCTGAGATAGATGTACAGTACTTGTGATGTGTAAGGGAGGAAGTTGTATATAATGGTGGATGAGAATCTTAAAATATACGGTAGATCGTTGTGTATAATTAATGTTTAGTTAGTGCTGTGTTTTAACTAGTGAAGTCATCAGTTTTCTGTAGCTAAATTATATGCAGTAGTTTGTATTAAAGTTTTGAGTGGTCATTAGACTATATGTATATATCTATGATAAGACCTTCCTCCCTGATACATCTGTTGAACTATACCACATGACATTCACAACCGCACATTAGAGTTAGTCAGTAGTATTGTATGCCACAGTGTTCATGATGCAATGATGGCTGCATGTAACTTGCATTTTAAGTAGGTGTGAAATTGGTAATGCTATTTTTCTTAACTGATAATGCTGCTTTACCAGTCACTATGCTTGTAGAATATCTTTTGTAGGTTAATTTATCTTGTAGTAAAATGTAGTGTGTTGTCAGTCAATATTAGATTCATTGGCTTTAGTAGATCATTAACGCATCTTTTATTGTTCATTATTACTGCCTTACTGCCAACATGTTTAAGGGACCAGTTCAGGGGTTTGAGGTTGGCATGATACTATTTTTTGTAGCCTGCCAGTGTACAGGAGCCACAGTATCATGCCAGCTGTGAACCCTGAAGTGCCCCTCTTAAGCCTTGTTAACATTAGTACTTGGAGTACATATTGTAAGGTAAGCCAGCAAGGTGAAGTGAGTAATGGTGAAGGGTTCTTAGGAGGTGTTTTTTGTGTCCAGGGATTTATTATTTATCTTTCCAAAGTTTGCTGTGTATTAGGTTGTGTTTCTTACAATGGGATTTTATGGCCAAGTTCTCCTCTTAAGGGACTCTTGCTTTATAACACTTAAGTCAAAGTAAACTGTGAGACATTAATGGCTGGAACTGGTTGGTTAGTAAGGTACACACTCTCATCACTACCAAATCCCTAAATGGGATCTTTTGAAGCAACAGTGATCTCTTAAGGTAGAAAGCAGTCAATCGTGACATCACATCAATGTGTTCATATCTCGCCTCACAATTTCAATTCCAGGCTTCAGTCACTGCACTACCAGGCTGTATGGTTTTCTTCTTGTTTAATGATTTTACCTCTATTAGTGCCAGAGAAACCTATAACAGAGTCACACGGTTTAAGCATTTGTATTAGTACAGTAAAACTCCTATTACCTTTGTTGTTATCACATTGCAAGATTTGTTCACAACTTTGGTAATGGTCCTGTTTGGGTATCACTGGTGTGTGTGTTTGAGCATTGACCAAATCCAGGCTGCGTCAAGGAGGTAAACTCATTCAGATGTATTTGACAGTTTTCTTATACTGTACCAGGTGCAGGAAATCAGCCTGGGTACAGTACTTCTTCTTTAAGTGCTTCTGTGACTTGGTCTCTGGTCTGAAATTTTATGGCTTGTTGGTTATTAGGGGAGAGGTAGGGGTTATTTACACTCTTGAACTGGTTTAAGTTCTGGACTACAGTATTAGGAGCTGTAAAAGAAGAGTTTTTTCAGTTCATAGTTGTCTTCCCTGAAGGTTAATTATTGCTGTAGCTTCACAGAGAAGGATCTCAGGGACTCTTGCCTCAAGGAGAGGTTCTGGTTTCCTCTTTGGCCTCTCATACTTATGGGCAAGTCTTACATGAGCCTAAAAGTTTTCACAGAGACTGACAGTACTCCCTGCTTAGGAATTAAATGTTCTCATTTCCAAGCAGAGAAAAACTTTTAACTACAGTGGTTCCTATTTTTAACATTGCCTACTGGTAATTATTGTACAGTAGTTAATTCTTACTGTAGGATTATAGACCACTGTCATCAGCAAACATTGACAGTAAATCATTGATAAAGTGAAGCTTCCAAAACCTATATATCTACTAAATTGTCACACCTTGGTGGCATGGTTAAGACTTGTGACCTATGGGTGGGGCATTGTAGGATGTGCATCAAGTCCATCATCCTGCACAGATGCTCGGTCATTGACAACAACTTTGTCACACAACATTTAGATACAGAAGTTACACTAAAGGACTGTGTGGTGCTGGGCAGCTTGTACTCTGCTATTAGGAAATAAAAGTTGGTGTATCCTCCTCCTATTATTTAGTTGGCATCCTTATATGTGAGAGTTGCTTAGGGGTGCTTCAAGTCATAAGTTGACGGGGGAGGTGGACAGATGCAAGAGTGACATTACAACTCTCTACTTTTCACATTTAATGGTGACTTGCTTCTAGGGATTTACTGTATATGAGCTGACAGTGTAACTAACACCTAAATTAGTGCCAGCCATTGATGTCTAAGCTGTACCCGAGTTGGTGGCTTACTGTAGTGCTAAATTCACAAGTCACTTTGGATGGATTTGACCATAATGTGTGATTTTAAAATTATTTTTACAGAGTATTTCTTTTTTTTTTTTTACTTTCCCCTCTCTGTCTTGACTGTTGTGTTGTGGCCATTAAAGTTGTTAGACTTTTCTAATAGTTACTGTGTTCAACCTGATCAATTATGATAGTTTATTAATTATTTTTTAAAGAAAACCCCCTTCAAGAATGAGGTCAGAAGGTTTAAGAGTAGCACCACAGATATTATGTTTAGTTGGTGGCTGGTGTAGCTGTTGGTGCCTGTGTTAAGTCAGATTGCAGGGATAACACTACCAGCTTCACGTGGCTATTTTTCTGTCATTATTTGATGGTTATAGTTCTTGATATTAAGATTTTGTGAAATAAACCTCACACAACTCTTTATAAGACATGGTGTATATAGTTTCTTGTGTATGTTCCTGGCTACAGATCTTGTGAAACTTTACTTTATATTTTGTTCCCAACGTTTTAATTTATTTTCATCCTTCCCTCTCATGATTGTATATTTTTTTTTTCTCATTGTGGTTAATCAGTGTCCTTTGTCACGTTGAAATAGAATCACTTTGTAAGGTTGGTAAATGGTCGTAAAACATTGATGATGGTGACTTGCCCCCCTCCTTGTATTACTCCATTTTGGTTAGACAGTTGTAGTTGTGTTGCTTGTGGATGATTCTTCAGCATGGTTTGGTCTCACAGGACCGACACACTACATCCTCAACATTCAGTCAGGGATGTAATTGGTTATCACTGTCTATACTGTAGATGTTAAAAATGTTAACTGGCACTTAAATATTTATCAGGATTTGTTAGTACAGTATTGTGTAAATGATTGCAATTTGTTATAGAGTAGAGTAGAGTATGTTGACTAGTGCCATACAAGGGTTAGACCATCTGTTAGTAGGAATCTTTATGTTTTCACCATGACAACAGTGGACAAAACTGTATTGAAAAGTTGACAGACTTTAGCCATAAGGTTTTTCTAATTTAGTTAACCTTGATGTATTCAATTTAACAGGTAAATGATTAGATCATTGAAACATGACTGAAAATAAAGTGAATTTTCATGCAGCTGCACATTTTTACATAAAGTATCAGAAAATGCATCACAGATTACAGTAGTTCTTGGTGTACACGACTCTTAATATTATAAAGAGATATAGACTGTTGTTATATACTGTATTTCAAGTCAGGTGTGTTGTATGTAGGTGGGTAAATATTGGGGACATAATATTAGTGGAACAATACTTGATTTTGAGTTATGGTTGTTTATATATTTAACTAATACAGTAATAATATATACTGTAGTAGTTATATTTTTGTTTTTGCTGATGTTTTTACCTCAAAGATAAAATTTGTCATTGGAAAAAATATATTTTAAGTGTTGTGATGGTTTGTGTCAATACTAATCTGTTTATGTCTCACTCTAGGACAAGAAGAACATCTTGTTCTCTGGCACTAATGTTTCTGCTGGCAAGGCTCGTGGTGTTGTCATTGGCACTGGTCTCGCAACTGCTATTGGTAAGTGCACAACTTTCTCTGTATGTGGTGATAACATACAACAGTAATCAGTGAGAGTATTGTGATAATTCATGTAGTTATATTAGCCAGTGAGTAATCCAGTCATCTTTCAATTTTCTTCAACAGCATTTTTTCACCATATTGAATTATGTTGGTTTGGCATCGTCCATATACTCGACATCCTGCAATTATTAAGTACAGATTTAATTTGGATCAGCCATGTAATTGACAGAAAAAGACACTTGAGATAGTACAACATGTCAGTAGTTTGTGTAATATATAAAAATGGCGGTGATGTGACAGAGAGAGAGCGTGCTGTAGGTTGATGCATAGACTGTACTGTATAGATCAGAAAGAGGTCACCAGGGTAGTGTACTTAATAATATAATCAATCAATAAGGAGACCAATAATTGAGGTCATTTTGTGAATTTCAAGAGGTGTACCATGGTTATGTGCGCCTTGGAGTAACCGTTTTGTTTAATAGTATCCAGTACGGAACCTTGGCATGATAGGGAGATACCTACTGTCTCATCTCCAGTTACGTAGGTCCAAGCCTATTTATTATTGTTGTCTACTCCTCTCTCTGTTTTGTCTCACCCAATCTTCCTCTCTCTGTTTTGTCTTACCCAATCTTCCTCTCTCTGTTTTGTCTCACCCAATCTTCCTCTCTCTGTTTTGTCTCACCCAATCTTCCTCAATGATATTTTTCATATTGCTTATAATTTGTCACTGCCTTGTCCTACACTTTTTTTTTTCACTGTTGCCAACTCGCTCCTCTTAACATTGATCGTGCTCTCCCACTTCATGTGTTACTTTGGTTTATCTACGTCACTCCCACACAACTCACAGTACAGTATCTCCATAAACCACTTATAACCGTGTATAGTATTCCAGTTATTAATGTAGTACTGTACTGCTGCAGTTTCTTGGGTCTTTATTACTGTATCTTTGTATCTGGTACTGTGTCTTGTATGATCCATAGAAGTCTCTCTACTTATCTTTCTGAAACTCCCACATTATTTACTTTTTCACTTTTCTAGTTTAATCAAAATTATATACTGTATCCCTTCATAGTACCAGTTGCTGAAATACAGTACATAAAGATAAATACATAGGTCATCCATACTGTCATTATTAGAAGTCCTTCCTCCTCTTGTACTGTATCTTATAGAAAAACATAATATACATGCTGAGATATTGCACCATCAAAAGCTTTATAGACACCGGTTATTTGTCAAGTTATCAATTACTGTACTACGTTTGTTATTTTAGGTAAGATCCGTACCCAGATGGCTGAGACTGAGGAAATCAAGACGCCCCTTCAACAGAAACTTGATGAGTTTGGTGAGCAGCTGTCCAAGGTTATCACTCTCATCTGTATTGCTGTTTGGGCTATCAATATTGGACACTTCAATGACCCTGCTCATGGTGGTTCCTGGATCAAGGGTGCTATCTACTACTTCAAAATTGCTGTTGCTCTCGCTGTGGCGGCCATCCCCGAAGGTCTGCCCGCCGTCATCACCACTTGCCTGGCCCTGGGTACCCGCCGTATGGCCAAGAAGAATGCCATTGTCAGGTCTCTTCCCTCTGTAGAAACTCTGGGTTGCACCTCTGTCATCTGTTCTGACAAGACTGGTACACTCACCACCAACCAGATGTCTGTCTCTCGCATGTTCATCATGGACAAGGTCGAGGGGAATGATTGCTCTCTTTTGGAATTCGAGATCACTGGCTCCACCTACGAACCTATTGGTGATATTTACTTGAAAGGTGCTAAGGTTAAGGGCTCTGACTTTGAGGGTCTGCAAGAACTGTCCACCATCTCTTTCATGTGTAATGACTCCTCTGTTGACTTTAATGAGTTCAAGAATATTTTTGAGAAGGTTGGTGAAGCAACTGAGACTGCCCTTATTGTTCTTGGTGAGAAGATCAACCCTTACAACATGTCTAAAACTGGCCTGGATCGCCGTTCTGCTGCTATTGTTGCTAAGCATGATATGGAGACAAAATGGAAGAAGGAATTCACCCTGGAGTTCTCACGTGACCGCAAATCCATGTCATCATACTGCGTGCCCCTCAAGCCTACCCGCCTGGGAACTGGACCAAAGATGTTCATCAAGGGAGCTCCCGAGGGTGTCCTTGATCGCTGCACCCATGTTCGTGTTGGTACTCAGAAGGTCCCTCTCACAGCTGGTGTGAAGGAAAAGATCCTGGCTGTCACCCGTGACTATGGTTGTGGTCGTGACACTCTTCGTTGCCTTGGTCTTGCTACAATTGATTCTCCTATGAAGCCTGAAGATATGGATCTTGGAGAGAGTAGCAAGTTCTATACCTATGAGGTTAACATGACCTTTGTTGGTGTTGCTGGTATGCTTGACCCACCAAGGAAGGAAGTTAGTGACTCGATCAAGAGATGTCGTGCTGCTGGTATTCGTGTCATTGTCATTACTGGAGACAACAAGGCCACTGCTGAAGCCATCTGCCGACGTATTGGAGTTTTCGGTGAAAATGAGGACACGACTGGTATGTCTTATTCTGGCCGTGAATTTGATGAGCTTAGTCCTGCTGATCAGAGGCTTGCTGTCATCCGCTCTCGACTGTTCTCTCGGGTGGAGCCCTTCCACAAGTCAAAGATTGTTGAGTACCTTCAGGGAGAGAATGAAATTTCGGCCATGACTGGTGATGGTGTCAATGATGCTCCTGCTTTGAAGAAAGCCGAGATTGGTATTGCTATGGGCTCAGGCACAGCTGTAGCAAAGTCTGCTTCTGAGATGGTGTTAGCCGACGACAACTTCTCCTCCATTGTAGCTGCTGTTGAAGAGGGCCGTGCTATTTACAACAACATGAAGCAGTTCATCCGCTACCTGATCTCCTCCAACATTGGTGAGGTTGTTTCCATTTTCTTGACAGCTGCTCTTGGTCTCCCTGAGGCTCTTATCCCTGTCCAGCTTCTGTGGGTCAACCTGGTAACTGATGGCTTGCCTGCCACTGCTCTGGGCTTCAACCCTCCCGATCTTGACATCATGGACAAGCCCCCCCGCAGAGCCGACGAGTCCCTCATCTCTGGCTGGCTCTTCTTCCGCTACATGGCCATTGGTGGCTATGTAGGAGCTGCTACTGTCTTTGCTGCATCATGGTGGTTCATGTATGACCCAACTGGCCCACAACTGAACTACTACCAGCTGTCTCACCATTTGGCCTGCCTGGGTGATGCTGAGAACTTTGAAGGTCTGGACTGTGGCATTTTCAGTCACCCTGCTCCTATGACAATGGCCTTGTCTGTGCTGGTCACCATTGAAATGCTCAATGCTCTTAACAGGTAATGTGGCCTCTAAAATTACTTGTTCTTGAAGAGTTAATATTTGAATTTGGTTTCATGCAGATGCATTCGAATGAAATATTCTAAATAACAATACTGAATATTTTTACCACTTAATAGATAATTTCATAAACATTTACGTGAAGGTTGCAGGTTATAAATGTTATGCCTTGGGTCATACAGTTTTTAGTTATCAATTACATTAGTATGGCTGCATGTTTTATGGGTATACACACCTTGTGTGTGTATTAAATAGAACTACTGTATTTTCGTACACCCATCTTTGAGATACATGTTTTACATCCTTTAAATGTTTGCCTTATTTCATAACTTTAGACAAATTTAAGATATTTGAACTAAACTACTCAAACGTGATTCATTCTTGGATAACATAATTTTCAACAACCATGACTTGACATGAGTGGTTGAGGTCAAATATGGAAGCTACCTTCTGCACTTGTTCCTTCCCCCAACACTTGATCATAACGATGAGAGAGTTGTGTACAGTGCCACTAGTGGAGGTGTTGCTTTAAGTGTGTATGTTCACTCTTAACTAACAGTGTAGAATAATGTGCTCACAACTTTATGTATGAAAGTAAATATTTTATTACACTGTATGTGGCAGTTATTAAATACACAGGTGCTTTATGTATTATTATTATTATTATTATTATTAGTAGTAGTAGTATTATGCCAGGTACTGTATTTTATATTTGTCAGTTTTACTTCTTTGCTGTGCTTCATTTAAAATACTTATTTTTCCCCTGATCAAGTATTTAATTGGGTGATGCCTTTCTAGCTTGTCTGAGAACCAGTCACTGCTGGTGATGCCTCCCTGGGTCAACCTCTGGCTGCTGGCGGCTATGGCCCTGTCCATGACCCTCCACTTCATCATCCTATACATTGACATCCTTGGTGTAAGTTTTATATCTTAGGGAAGGGAAGACCATCACGTTTATACTCTATTACACATAAAAAAAAGTTTATCTCCGAGTCTCTTGGCTTTATATACAGTAATGCATGTTTATTGTGGCTAAAATACATTATAAAAATCCTTCTTACCTTTCTTTGCTGAAAATAAAGGTTAAGTAAAAATTCAAATTAGATAAAATGCTTTACTTTGCCATTTAATTATCACACAGAATAAATCCATTATGTTGGTGGATTTGTTGTATAATATTTGATCATTATGTTCAACAGTACTTTTCAGGTGCTAGAGCTTTAACAAATAGCTCCTGGAGTTGCCCAGTCTTCAAGATGCCACTGCCCTCTATTGCTTCAACCAATCTTACTTTGAGTCACTCGTGTATTGAATGTTAATTGAACAAAAGAGGATTATTACTGGTAAACTAACCTTATTTCTCTGTGTACAGACTGTGTTCCAGGTAATGCCACTGTCTGTGGCCCAATGGATTGCTGTCGTGAAGATTTCCCTGCCCGTTTTGCTGCTGGACGAGACTCTCAAGTTCATCGCCCGTAATTACACCGATGGTGAGAACCCAATATTTTCCTGCCAGTGGATTGTGCTAGCCTGGGCCCTCTATTTTGCCTACATCAAGATTTACTTCTTTTAACCTCAGTCACCACCCTAACAAAATGCGCTGCCGGGAATCAGACCCATATTATTTGGAAACTTTACTCTTTGATGGGAGCAAGAAAAACATTGTGATTTGACTTGTGTAGAATTTTCCCATTTGGGGAGGTTTGTCAGAACGGCCTCATCGCTCATGGAGATAATCAACTTTTTTACAATGTTTTTGTGTGCCACTTTGGCGCTGTTGTGCTCCCCGCTCTCACTGAAAGGTACAAGTGGGACTGGAAGACTCAGGGTGTGTGACATGAGTCTTGAAAGTCGGACAAGTGTTGTTGCCCCTAATTACACCACGTGAATCAGCTATTGTTGCTGCTGTGGCTGTCAGCTGCCACTGCTGTTTGCTGCTGTTGCCACTGCTGTTGCTTAAGTTAGGGGCAGTGTGATTGATGAGTATAGTGTACATATATAATGAAATGCTGAGAGAGTTGACACAAAATACAAGACACTTGACCACCTGTCCCAAGATGGTGGTTGATTGCCAGACCAAAGCACCTCTGGAACTAAAGGCAGACAATCTATTGGATTAGATAACTGCCCAAGCTCCATTCATTTTATGTTGAGGGCAAAATCCTGAAATTGGGATCAAGACATCACTATTTATATAAACCTTTTTGATAGGGTTGTTTGGTAAATTTACAAACTAATGATCTGCATTAATGAAAGTGAATGCATGCTTGTGGGATACATGATTCTTCTGCATTCAGAGTAAGGGAATAGTCAGTTTTTATAAGTAATTTTTGATGAAATTATGAAATGGTATTTTTAGGGTACATATAGTGAGATGTCTCAAGTAGACAATTTTTAAAATTTGTGCCTTCATTTTATTTGGTGGCATCTGGACCCTGCCTCACCCCACCCAACCCTTCCCCCAGCATGCCATTGTATCCTACCAAGAGCATTTGGATGGTTCACATCTTGTAGATGTACATTAAAAGTATTCCCCTGTAGTGTGTAGTGTAAGGTCATTGCAGTTTGTAATAACATGTGGATATGTGCAATGGATAATGTAGTTTTTTATACATAACTTTCTTGGTGCATTATTACATATACAGTACAGTGCTCCTGATTGGTATCCTTATTCATTCCCCCAAAAGCTGAACTCTTCATTCATAATAGTGTTCAAATATCCCCTTAAAACTTCAGAATGTGCAATTGACATATGTAATATATTTTTACTTTGACCGATAGGTCATGGTTATTACAAGAGAACTAGCAATTATTTTATTTTAATTTTTATTTTTTCCATGGAGTACGTATTTTGTCAGGAGATCAATACGAGTAACTGCAAAATATAGTTCAAAAACTTTGCCATCATTACCCATTGCATCCTTGGGACTGTATACACAAGGATCCTGTTGAAGACCCTTATTTATGGACTGTGAGGTTGAGTTGTTTGCATGGCATAATTGGTTCTTTGACAGATTTTGGAATAAATTCATTATAGTTCCCTCTTTATTTATTATACCACACATTATACCCCCACTTTCCTCAAACACCTGTGGAGCTTTTCCCTCTTCAGTTTTCAAGGTTGTTCCTCTTAATTTTTACCCATGTGCCACCTACTAATATCCAGTATCCAAGCAGGTGCATAAAAATTCATAGGGATCTGTGTAGAGAGGAGTGCTTGGGTGCTTATGCCAAATTAAGCAAGACTCCATGTAGCCATCAGATCTTTATCAGTATTATCTTATGTAATCTCCATAAATGACCAAATGGATCATATTATACTAGTGTCATTGCCAATCATATTTTATGAGGGAGGATCAAGTTATTTCAGGACTTCTTTTATTTGAAGTCAGAGTTATAGAGACAGGCACACTAAATTTACCTTATTTCTTCATGTCACTTCCCTCTATAATATACTGGTACCTGAATACTGCAGCCTAGATAAATTTTCCCCTATGCTCAAACCATTTCAGTATGTGGATCCTCACCTATTCGTCAGACTTCAAATTGCTGCCCATGATGGTGGTACTTTGGTGTCCCAAACCAATGGCAGGCATTAGCAACCAAGTTTAGACAACTGTGTAAGTGAGCGAGAACTATAGTCAAACTCCGCAGGTTGATTGTGGTTCTATGGTCATGTGAGGGAGTCGTCAACCTAAAGCAGAAGCATTCCCTCCTTATGTCTGGATACACGTTGTATATAATGTGTTTGTATCCATTAAGATACTTTTGGGCCAGCTGTCCAAGACCATGCTTCTGCTTCAGGATAATACCCACCCACACATACCTCCACAGTCACACTTCAGAGTCTGTGCTGAGTGGTTTTCTCTCACCTGTTCTTCAGTTTAGACTTGATTACTTGCACTTTTCATTTTTTGGGGCCTTTGAAGGATCACTAAGGTTAATAGAAATTCTAGTCTGATGACGAGGTGAAGACCCGTGTTCCTAAAGGGTTGGAAATAGTGGCAAATCCTTCTATGTTGAGGTGTATCAATGGGAGAAACCACTGACTGTTGGGAGATATAAGGTAGGTTACATGTCCCTGTCCTATAACTTTACTTTCTTCAAGGAAAAGTCTGGAAGTAACTGGAAGAGCCCCTGGATATACATAAAGTTTCAAGTTATATAGAGAAATTGTAGCATAATTCAGTACCCTTTAGTCCAAGTGTGTGGTTCTACTTGCCTGAACTTTACCTGAAAACTTCAAACCTAATTAGTGCTACTACTTTAACAATCATCACCATCATCTTACCCCATCACCACCACCATCACCGCCACCACTACCACCACCACCACCACCACCACCACTACCTCCTTAAGTGTAAAAGGTTCCGGCCACAATTGGAACAAAGGCCATCACTGATACTCGTGAACTCTTACCACCATATACCACACCTTCCTCACCTACAACTAAGGAGACCACCAAGAACAACCAACAGTGGCCCAACCAAGTGAAGAGGAACTGCAACTCCTTTTAAACTTAAGCTCTTTTTTTTTTTGTGTTTTCTCCTCCTTGGATTTTCCTATTTCCTATTACCTTCATCTACCCTTTCATTACCTTTTTCTGCAACTCTCCCAAGACTCACTCACACCAACAAAACTGCTGTGAGTATTATTTTTTTTACCTCATTGTAATCATTACCTCTAATTCATCTTTATTCATTTATTTCTTAAGGAAAAGAGATCATATATTTCTCCCTTCTTCATGGCATTTATAGTATAGTATACCTGGCAAGATTATTAAAATATAACTTCTCATGTTAGAATTTTTTATTGAACTTCACAACTTTACATTATCTTGCCATGGTAGAATACAAAAATATTTTCATCCAATGTAGCTAGATGTTTTTACTTGAATTAGCTGTAAGTAATAGACTCCTGGATTGTCTTAACATTGTAATGATCACCAAAGATCTTGCTATCTTTGTGTGGTTAGACTGGAGTCACAAACATCAGGCTCTTAGTCCCAAACCCTTAAGAATCCAGTGATTAGGAATAGTATACCACTGAAGTGCAAGATGTGCTTGACAACTAATGTGTCATTTGTCACATTGAGATTATTGTGGCAGCTGCTGTGGTGCACTGACCATGTCACTAGTGAACACGTTTGTCAGCCCAACTAACTGTCATGCAATTCCTGTTTCACTTGTTCAACATTTTACTACCATTTTTACAACTTATAAGTGGAAAGGCACATGTGAACATTACCAACCATCTTAATCAGGCAAAGCACCTGTCAATTTCAGTATTTTTTATTAATGTTGTCAATGAGAGGAGGAAGAGCTAGTAAGTAATTTACATTTTTAAATTCACGTAGGAATCAGTGTTGCCACACTTATTTATAGTAAAAACCAGTCTATAGAAAGGTTTTCTGTGTAGTGTCATAGTACACAAGTAGCATCAAAATACTTTGGACTGGATATACAAGTGGCAATTATATATTTTTTTCTGAATAGCATATATTGTTCACTGTGTCCATACCATTTATGCTGTTTCCTTTATAAGCTGTGATGTCATGAGTTTTGTTAAGAAAATAATAAACCATTGTTAAGAAATGATGTAAAGAGTTTTTGTGTGTGTTGTCTTGCCTTGTGCTGTAGTTTGTGTGACCCTGTTCCCATTATTAATGGCACAACTCTTAATGGCCCTTCTACAGAGGCCATCTCCACAATGTTCAACTTTAATGTAGTGTGGAGTGTGACTAATTAATTCCCCAGCTTTACATAGGATTCTCAAGGTAAGAGTCATATTTCTGTTGTAGTGTTTAGTATAGATGTACAGTAATAAAAATACCCTGTTAGAAGTTTAATATACAGTGCTGTATGGAACTTACAGTAACTTTATTTCTGAAAGGTTAATCCTTGTTAGGTGTAAATTTCCATGTTTAATACCTTATACAGTACAGAACAGTATATCTATAGTATATATTATATACTGTACTGTACACTGTATATAATGTTTTGTTTTTCAGCATTACAGTTCTTTGCTATAAAGAAGAATAATAATTAGTTTGTGAATCAAATTCATACAGATTTTTTGAGAAAGGCTGTCTTTGTATGGAGTGTTTCAGGAGTTGAATGTGATTGGAAATAAATTTGGCTTTCAACTTGTATAAAGAAAAATGGTGGAAGACATTATTTAAGACCTGTGTGTGTGTGTGTGTCTTGGGGGAATTTAAACTGTTTAGTGTGAATGGAATGTTACAGTACTGAATTTAAGTATAGTACAATTACCGGTAGTACATTGAATTATGAAAGGAAACCTGAGGAAATGGTTTAGATGTGGAAGTGTGATTGATATGACTTTAAGGGGAAAATGGAGAACAAGTGATACAGTACAATGAAGGTGTGTGTGTGTGCACATCAGGTAGGAGAATTGTCTCCATGGATGACCAAGATAAGCAGATCGATATAAGTATCTGTATTAGAAATAAATATATCTCCGGGATATACAGTATTAGAAACACACTGACTCGCTTTGGACAAAGTTTTCCTCGAGTTAAACTTTCTTTATTGGTTACGAAAGCCACAATGAACCATCAGTTTAGAGATGGCTTCAAGTCGAAGGCTGGGGAATATTGCTCTAAAAACTCTGTTTCCTCAGACAAATCGTCAACACCACCACCATATAAAAAAACTTAAAACTTTGTAGAATTACAGTACAGTACAGTACTCTAGTTCTATTGAAGCTCGATGTTGTAAGGTATTTCAGGCAGAACTCGTATATTGTTTTGTCTTAGTTTTAACAACAGTATAAGGTGTATTGTAAAAATATTTACCAGGATTTAAGCCAATGACCTTCTTACCGTATCTTAGGTAACAAAAAACTGATCAGATCTTACTCAAGTTCTCCCCATGAAAATCTGGCCCAAGTTTTTGGCACCTAATGAATATTATCAGACAAAAGAACAATAGCATAGCTAATCAAAAGTTTTTCTTGTTCCACTGACAACTGTTTAAAGCAGACTAGCTGTACTTCCCCTCTGCTCCGTACAAGACCTGGTGCAAGTGATGAGTTTACCCACTCCTCCCCAATTCTTTGTCCCTCCTGATGGTAGAAATTCTTATATATCAGTCATTTATTTTCAGTCCTTCCAAAACCTTCCAAGTATATGGTCTGCCACTGAACGTATTTAATGTCTTATTGATCCCACCGCTTAAACTGTGCTTTTTTTTTACTTCCCAATAAACCCATTTTTATCATACAGTATATCTCTTCCCCAGTATACCTGTGGTTTTTTACTTCAAATATTTTTCAGTAAACCATATTTTTTTCACCTTTTGCTCCCAAGATATAATAGTTTAACTACTCCCTAGTACAGTGTATTGTACCGTGCTTTTGGTATTTTGTTTCCCATTGAGCATTACATTTGTTTACCCATAAATATTTTATTATTAAAAATATTTATCCTATCCAGAAAATATGACTACATTAACTGTATATTTTTGTGTAATCAATTTGTTACCAAACTATCCCAGATAATATAAAAAATCACATTGCTTATAGAAACTGCATGACAGATTCCCCTAATCCACCTTAATTTCTTTGGAAAAATGCTTTGTCTCAGTATACCCAGAGTACCCTACAGTATTTGTTGTATCTGCCCTGTAACTCTCCCATACCAAGTATTTGATCTACAGGCTGTTGCCATAGCCCCCTCGTGACATCCCTGTGTACCCTCCCGTTTTGCTTGCCATGTACTTACCCTATCCCTTTGTTCCCTCAGCCTTGGAAGGCAGAAAATGAACTGGTCTCTGGCAATTGTAGATCTCTCTGGTTGCCGACAGTAAGTTCTCGTTGGTGGTCAGGTTACAGCGGCTACTTGTTCTCGGTGCTATTAGAAATGTAAAATAGAGGAGATTCAACTATTGACTATATGCTTGCTTTATAGATGCTTATAGCTTAATGATGCCATTGTGCCTTATTGCCATGATTCTCTTAATAGGATGCACTGTATGGTTAACATAATTATTAGCATTTAGATTAACTTTTATTTTACAAACAATAAGGAAACTCATAAAGTTTATTAAGAAATATCAGTTCATTAATAGAATCATAAAGAACTAAAACATTGTACGTTACAGGAAACTTAGGTCACAAGATGCTAGCGGTGTGTGTTGGACGCAGAAGCTTAGAAATGAAAAAAGCTAATACAATAGATAGCTTTAGAGCCTAAACTGATAACTTTCAGAAAAGAATAATAATAGTGTGTTTCCATGTTTCATCTGTGTACATATTATTACATCTAAACTAAGATCTTTTTCTTGACACATCTGGCCATTGCGATACAGTAATGAAATACAGTATATTATTTTAATACCGGGTAACTAGATAATATATATCAATGGTACTGTACTGTATAGATTTATTTATGTACAGTACTGTACAGTACAATTTATCAGTTATTGTCAGGTTCTCATCATTTGTACATAAAATAATTTAAAACACACGAGTTTTTCTATAATAATTAAATGAATCATATGTGTCACTTATAAATTAAATATTCAAGAGTCAAGTTTTGATGTATGGAACAGTATGCTAATTTCATTTAAAAGTTTTTAGGTACAAATGGTACAGGATGGAATTAGGATATTTATTGTCCATCATGATTGACCATTTATTCGTGAACAGATGCATAATGCTTGTGGTTCTTCCCTACAGTGCCCGAACAGGTTGTGTAAGAGCAGTCATCAGTGAGAAGTATACCCCCGCCCATCACAGTCTCCTCAGGCACCTGACTCCGCTGTTGTACTTGTAGATTTTCTTTTAACATCTGACTTATCTAACTTTTCTTCTTCTTTTTTTATTTTTTTTCTCTTTTTCTTTTAGTAATACATAGAAATGCCTCATAGAAGTAGCAGCATCTATTAACCTAGTACATATCTTTCACCTGTAATTAGACTTTAATGCCAATAATACTTTTTTTACAGTACCCGATGAAATTCTGCAAAAGTGGTAAAGGCTGAGACTTTACATCTGCTCCAGCTTTTATTAATTTCTCACAGCCAGTAGCATTAGCCGTACTAACCTGCTAACTGTCAGTGCCACGCCTGTGATGAGCTTAGCACCACCCCGCCATGGCCACCGCCACAGGAAAACTTTTGTTGATACCATGGGGAATTTTCCATCCCTCAAGTTGATGCCTAGGACTCTCAAGAGGCAGTGGCTGTGGGTCAACAGAGGGGCAGAAGCATACGGCGGTGGTGTGTGAGGTCCTTCACCTCCACCAGAGATCTCAGCCTCCCCTTGCAGCGCCTCGGCCTTCTTCGCGTCCGGTGCACCATTTTAATATTACCACACATGCAGGGGGAGGATTCTACCATTGGCCCATCACCTTGCCAACATTCTCCATCCAATGGATGATATAGAGGATGAATATGTACATTTACTTGTGTTGTAATTTGATTTAGAGTAACTAGATTATTTTGATTCCCTTGTTAAAATAAACTGTTAGCCGAACTGCTCTTGGGCAAACATTACCAAAAGTCACACCAAGTGTGTTGTGTCCTGTGTCTGTGCTCATGTGAAATCGCCCATCAGAGAGCAATGTATGACCATACAAACATCCACTTGTTCAAGTGCAAAGATGAGGTGCAATTTTGTACCTCATTTTGTACGTGCCACTCATTTATTGTTGATGATAGAATAAATAATTAAAAATAGTTTATGGTCTTGACTGTCCTCTCAAAAATTTGTACACCTCATATCTCATTCGATAACATTGTGTTGTTAAATAGGCAAACTGGGAACATTTATGTGCTGAACAGAAGAATGACTTGGGTGGCATCTCCTCAATGGTCACTCATACAGCCTTGTAGGCCTTTGGTATTCATTTGATTTTCATAATTGTTACACTTCTTAATTCTCTCTCTTCTTTAGTGCTCTCTAACAAATTTCTCTCTGTGAGTATAACTCGCTTATAAATTTACCATCTTAAAATCAATGTTTACCAAAGTGGCGGTGCTGCTACTTGGGCCAAAATATAGGGGCGTGACTGCTACTTAGGTTAAAATCTAGTGGCAAAATGTAGAGGTGTTACTGCTCCTTTTGAAAAGCAGTTAAAATTGGAATATGCATAGGGAGACCTCATTATCCGTATGGGTTCTGTTCTAACCATGTAACAATTATATGAATAATGCAGCAATTTTTCCAATGAAAATCCATGTAATAAGGGTGGGTTAGGGTCCTAGCCAGTCAAGTTTGGTTACATTTGTGGGTTAATCTGAAATAAATGAGAGAAATGCATACTAATCACACAATTACTGTACAGCAATAAATAAAACACATTCTAACCATATACGGTATATATATTTACTATACTATATAACTCAACACTGTACAGTATGTGTATACAGGCAGGAGGAAGTGGAGGTGTTCATTATTGTACGAATGACTACTGATTACATACACAGTGGAGCACAGTATCTGCTGGCAAAGACCACCAGCCAGGTAAATGAAGACAGCTTCAGTCTTGACAACTGCAGTCCAGGAAGCAGTTGTTCAGACCGAAGGAGAGTTAGTTATAGAATAATTTGTAAAAGTTTTTAAAATGATGGGATCAGTGTTGAAAAGAGGAAAGATTCTTAAGAATTGTTTACGGTATTCATCATTTTAGCATATCCACATTGCTTCATTTCTTAAAGAAGCATTAAATACATTTTAATTATTACTATGTTTAATTCATTAAATTTATAAAGGTTTAATACAAAAAAAAACCAGTTGGTCTGCTGATGTAAACATACAGTAGTTTCCACAGCCACGTTACAAACATCATCAATAAAGGATTAACATTCAACAGCATAAGGATTCATTTAGCCATCACTAGCTTCACTACTACTGGCAGGGGATCACATGTATCATTTGATCATCTGAATTCAATCTGTGTAAAGAGGAACAGTGAATAATACAGAAAAACCATTGTTGGAGGAATAGTAACTAACCTTATATACTTGAAGACCTTAGTAGTTGAAGAGCAGTAATAACATTATAATAATAACAATGTCTAGTCACCAGGGATTTTCAGCACGAAATTATATTCTTAGTTTTCCCATTAACCTTTAAATAAGGTGGTTGTGGTCCTCAAGGGTATAGGTGTGGTCAAACGTGGTCCTTGAAGTTCCTAGCTGGCACCCTCTCTTGGACCATCCCTCCCCCACCTCCCTCAAAAATACTGTAGTGGACGTCTCCCCTTCAAACTGCGTATCGCATTCCAATGTGCCGCCTTCCTTAGCAACCAACCAGATGTTACCGTATCTTAGCAACGGAACTAGTCACCGGCGACTTTCTGGGTTTTCCCAACATGACTCATAGCGGCTGCTGCTGGGTATATAAGCTCTGTCTCTCCATTGAGATTCATTCTGACCATTCTTCTACAACAAGCAACACCTCCTCCTCCGCCGCTGCCTGGCAGCCCTCGCATCTCTTCGCCTGCCTGGCGGTCCTCGCTCCCGCCAGCGAGCATGGCGACCCACCAGCCGTCCTTCTCTGAGCTTCCTCACCAACCAACTCTCATTCTGCCCATCTTCCTGAACAAGCACCTCCAGCACCAGACTGTCTATCATATAACTTATATTATACAAGAAAACCACATTAGAGCATCCTTCCATCCTGAGTGCTAGATAACATTAATCTCTCGATACCCCTACACTACTTTAAATGTTTTTTACACCTTTTTTAATTTTTTGATTTTTTTGAAAAATTGGATGTATTCGGTTTTATGTACCGCACAAAAAAATCTAATGTAGATTTTTCTGCTGATTCCAAAAATGTGATTATATATATTGTATATATTGTATATATATATATATATATATATATAGATTGTAACATTTAAACGTAGAAAATTGAAAGTTTAAAGGGCTATAATGGTTTTGCTATTCAATTCTCAAAAAAAATAAAATAAAAAAATATAATTATATATGCAAGTAAATCCCTGTTTCGGTGTTCAGTAGTATAGGTTGGGGTAGTTTTCGGTGTTCAGATGGGGAGTGAATCCATAACTCGAAAGTGATTTTAACCATTTTATTGCTATCTATTTCTTAAAAAAAAACCGGAAAATTGTTTTGGAAATAATATAAAAATCTAAATTAGAAAAAAATATATATTTATCTTAGTGCGATACTTGAAACAGAAAAGAATCCAAAGGAAATAACAAAGTACCATTATTGCAATTTTATGGACAATTATAATTTGTTAAATATTTTTTAAAGTTCCTTGGCCATAGAGTTCCATTACCTGACGAGTATACAAAAAAAAAGAAATAAAAAATATAATTAAAACATTTGAATAGAAGACGAACCATAATTATTACCAGACGAATATGAATAAAAACCTAAGTAATTTAAAGAAACACATACCTGTAGTTATAATTGTTGCTCCTGGGGGAAATATATCACTTAAAAAGACTTAAAATAGCTTTAATTTACATATTTTTTAAGTAAAGTATTTCATGTGACGTCACGGATCCGGATTAAAGGTCTGGTAGGAAGGTTCACATGTTAACCTGACGTGTAATGTCCAGCTGAATGGAAACCTTCTCTTAACCTTCTTCCTGTGAGTATTTTATTATTATTTATAGAGCTTTTCATAGTTAATATCCCGTAGGTGTTAATGAGAAGGGAAATATGTGTACTAGGGCAGTATATAGAGGATAGTGGTGATTAAAGTGAGGTGCCGGGTGGTGGTGTCATCACCCAGCTGGCTGTTAGGTTATTACGTGGAATTATCACATTGGTATTCCCCCCAGCTGTGTGTTCTACTGCACCTGGGTGACGGTAGGGCATGCCTGGTGGTTTATATATCTTAGGAACATTATTTTATCTTGATGAATCTATAATAACGCTGTATACAGGACACCCTCAGCCATCAACTATGGTCCTCGGCTCCACGGGTTATATATATAATAATGTTACCTTATATATGTAGGTTTATAGCCTGGAAGGAGGTAATTTTTTATTAAGTGTGTAAGTGTCTGAAGTAGAAGAGTGTGCAGTGATGATACTTTGTAGTGTAAGGCACAAACTAACACAGTAATAAAGGAGTTAATCTTATATTTGACCCATGGGCTTCAGGCTACGGTAGTCATTCCTCTTTGGATGATAGTAAGAAATAAAAACGATGCGACAACTTTTTTATTTATATTATTATTTTTTTCTCAATCTATGATCATAAATCACCTGTAAGGGTCACGATATGAAGGATGAGGGAAATTGTGGGGTAAAACACGGCGAAAAAACTTATCTTAGGTGCTTTGTCTACGAAGAAATTAACTATTTACTGTAAATTCTCCTCCCAAATATCTGCCGTTGTTGGTGCATGTTGTCTGCTTTTTACATGCATACTCTCATGTCCACAAAAAAATTTAAATTACGCTCACCATTACGCTCACCATTACACTTCCAAAAAGTTATTTTCATTGGTACTAGATATCAAAATAAGTATTCCTGTGCTGTACTTTCTGTTAATATGGCAGTGAGGAAAGTTAGATAGGTTTCTTTCGTCTGGTCAGGTCAGGTTCTATTAGTTTCTGTGCATTGTTGTATAATTTTTATTACTTATTATCATCCAAAGAACATCTGTGGAAAAAATGAACAAAATCGAACACTGTGTACTGGTGTTAGCCATCTGCTCCAGGATTACCCTTATTATACTGTTATTACTATTCACATTATTAACAAACAATATTACTGCTCCACTAATTGATCATGATTCTAGACATGTGGTTGGGGTAGAAACACATGGTGAAGTAAGTCAAGTCCAAGGGTGAGGTTCCTACATCACAAAAGCTGAAAAGCTACTGAGAAGAGACTGAGAAGCTCTCACGTGTGAGTGAATGAAAGATAAATCTCTACTTGGCAACATAATCTAGCTAGGCCCGCCCTTTTTTATTCAAATAGGCCCACAAAAGATCAAAACGTCGTATGTTGTGACCCGAAGCTCTACAAATGTATGACATGTGATATACAGCCTAACCTAACATAACCTAAATTTGAGCTGGTAATACTTGATTGAGTGGTCTGGCCTTTCTTAATGTAAAATATAGTTCTTTGTTTAACCGGTGGGGAAGGTTAAGGTGAAGAGAAACTGAAAATCCTCATTAGTGTTAGGGGGATACACTGATTAATTTTTGGCAATCAGAATTTGAAAAAAAAAGATATATAAGTATACCAGTACTGTAATTAAAAAAAACAATATGAAAGAAGATCAAATAAAATAAAAGAATGATTGAGACTCACAGAAAAATACAGACAAAACAGTTTTACATTATATAGAAAATGGTGTACTGTACTGTACTTACCCACGTTCACTTAAATGTCTCCTAAAATGTGAGAAGCATCAAAGTTCAACAAAATTTATAACAATTTTAGTGGAATCTTCTTGGTGGTTTTCATGTAGCTAAGTGGCCAAAGTGGTAGTGTAATTCTTTATGTTTAATGTGTAGAGGACAGCCTGATCATGATTTACTAAAATTAGGAGTTATGATTTTCTTCTGCCCCCATGCTAAATAATATAACGTACAGTATATATATTTTTTGTACAATCTGCATGCTTACTTATTTCATTATTCTCTTACACCTACAATGTTATTAATCTAGAAATAAGTTTTCAATGTGTTTTCATTCTCGTACAATTGCCACATAATTTACTCAAACTTGTGTGAAGACAGATGACTTGTAACTCTCACCATCACTTTACATTATCCTCTTCGCCACTTGTCGGCTTGGGTGGTTGGTCACATCTCTTCTTACACAGTTGGCAAGAGTTGGTCATGTACTTACTGGCACCATAATGTGTCTGTACCTGTGAAAGTATTGGTCAAGTCTGGTCTTGAATGAGTTGACATTCAGTGCCATCACAAAACTCTCTGGCAGATTGTTCCAAGAGTTCACAACTCACTCCGCTAAAAAGTTTGCCTTGACATTTTCTGAACCTATGGCTTCTTCAACTTTAAGCTGGGACCTCTAATTGGATCAGCATCTGCCAGTTCCAGGAATGAATGCTTGACTGAGTACAGGTAATGCCATTTGAGGTGTTTATAGACTTTTATTAAGTCACCCCTTTCCTTTCGCTAGTATACTGGTAAATTAGGCAACTGCAAGTATTCCAATCTTTCTATGTAACTGAGATGCTGTAGTGAGGGCAGCAGTCTGGTGGTCCTGCTTTAGACATTTTCAATCAACTGATAGTCTTTAGCATATCTTGGGGACCTGATGGGGTGATTACTCCAAACAGAGAATCACCTCACTTTTGATGTGCATTATGAGGGACACCGTCTAGGTGTGAATGCCCCTCTTATAAGACCTACTGCTTAGTTGCTTGATTCACCTTCTCACAATGGTCTGAGAACTTCTTTTTGTTGTCGACATACACAACCAATTTGAGGACCTTTAGATACAACCAACAACGAATAAGGTTCAGTTTAATTTTACACAGCTTTGACTCTTTCAAAAACATCCTGCACCCTCACCTAGGTGGCTCTAAGGCTCTTTCTAGCATAAATAAACCACACTCTTCTTACAGTTTGCCTGAGGAAGGTTCATAAATGAATCATATCCACCTAGTATATACAACTCACAACCCTGCAGGTCGATCCTTCTGTTCTTATACAACAGTTCCACAACACCAAGGTACTATATTGTGTTGATGGGTCTTGAGTAAGGTGTCAAATTCTGCTCTCTTTTTCAGGAAAGTGTCAGTATATTGTAGTACAGTATTTTCAAGTCGGAAATAGTCCTTGGTAGCATCTCTGATATTGGTAGTTTTGGCCTCCTTCCAGTCTCCCCAGTTGTCTTGTTTTTATGAGATGTGGTGAGAGATATTATTGTTGACATGGTGCTTGATCATTCAATTTTGCCTTATATATAGTACAGTACGTCCAGATAATTTGCGGATTTTTATTTCACGGTCCTCTATTATTCACAGATGACACCCTGGATGTACCCAAGAATGTCTAAGGGTAGTTTTAAAGTTGCTGGAATTTTCGTGGCCAGGACAGGGAGCCATTCATTCTAGAGACAATAATTTCCTTTACCTGTATTGTATATATATATATATATATATATATATATATATATATATATATATATATATATATATATATATATATATATATATATATATATATATATATATATATATATATATATATATATATATATATATATATATATATATATATATATATATATATATATATATATATATATATATATATATATATATATATATATATATATATATATATATATATATATATATATATATATATATATATATATATATATGTGTGTGTGTGTGAAGCGTAGTTTCATAACAAAGAGGAGAACCAGGGAAAACACAAACATCTTGACTAAGTTGAGTTTCTTTAATCACTAATGTTTTGGAAAAATCATTTTCCATCATCAGAGCCTATTTATTTGTATGTGTTTTGTGTGTGTGTGTGTGTGTGTCTACACACACACTCACATATATACAATACAGGTAAAAGAAATAATTGTCCAAAGGGCAGCAAACACATAGGGGAATATACATTTCTTTGTACACAAGTAAAAATGTAACACCCCGTCAGCCAATGTTATTCGCAGATTTGGCGATTTGCGGCCATTTTGATGAGCCTAAACCCTGCGAATTTGAAGGGCATGTTGTACTCCCATGTACAGTACAGTACTGAATGTGGAAAATAGAATAAAAGAAAATGATTTGTATTCATAAATTTCATATACGGTACTGTATATATTAAATATGTACAATAAAGGTGTAGAGTTGTGAGAGAAGGTCTGGAATTTGGAGGTGCAATTTTTTGGGAGCTAAAGAGAATATGAACACTGCATGAGGAGTGGGATCCCTGGTTGGTGTATGGAACATTTTGTGCCTCATTCCTTACATTTCATTGCTTGAATCATTAGTACAGATATAGTACTCTATCTGGACACTTTGTTCATAGTGTCCTTGGTCAAGTTTTTGCAGAACTATTACTTTTTTTATGCACTTAGCACCTCGTGCTTCCTTTTAGCACTGTTAAACTTAGTACTTTCATTTTTGTGTTTGTTTGATGGAAATATAAAATTATTAAACAAAGAATACAGAACACAACCATTATTAACCAAGGTTGTAGCTCGAGTTTTTGTGATCGCAGCATTTGTGTCATAAACAAAGGATGATGGAATAGCTCGTCGGGGGTCGAGCGTGGGATTATTATTATCATCATCATCGTCATTATTATTATTTTAGAGAACATATCTTTAGTTACATAATGGGAGTCATTGGGAAATGTGCCTATAACCAGTGTTAAGAAGAAATGGTGTTATAATGCCCTTAGAACTGGTCCACTATAGCACAGTACTGCTCCTCCAAGGGCTTCAAGAGATAATTAGTTTTCATCTGTAATTACAGTAATCCTCAAGTCCAGTAAGAATCAGAATATTCTAGAAAGAATTAAAAAAATAAGAAAAACAAATGGTGTTAGACCTAAGCTGAGGGCTCTTAGTGATATCCACAGTGCCTGGATAGTCTGTCTGGTGCACCCCAGATTTTAATGCAGTGTTCCCTGCATCTGTAAGGCTATGTTCCATGTGCGAGCCTCCTGCGACATTGAGCGACAGGGCTTAGACGCACGACCTACTTTCCAAAGGGACCTCTGTCCCATCTATGCAGTGCAGATGTTTGATTGCTGGTACATTTAGGAAATAATGCCTTTCAATGCATGGTATAAAACTTGCCATATAACAGAAGAAGATGGAAGTAGGCGAATTTCACCATCTCTACAAGGAACTTTTCCAAGATCAGAAGTTTCACGAGTACAGTACACCAGAATGTATTCTGATGGGGGACGAGGCCCACCCACTTGGTGTATGTGTTGAAACCCTATCCTAGGAATGCTCTGAATAAATAAAAAGTAATAATTACAGATTGTTACCTGCCAGGCGTGTTGTAGAGTTTGTATTTTTAATTTGTACAAGTACTGTACTGTAAATGGAAAATTTTAAATAAAGGTATTGAAATAAAGGTACATACTGATGTTGACACTGTAAAGTGTGCTACACTTTTCCATAATATCATCATTGACACATCAAAGAAAACACATATGTTTGTCCGTGACACCAAGGTGGCGTGTTCCTCGTGTGGTCGCTCGATGCCGCAGGACGCTCGCCCATGGGACATAGCCTTACAACTGTCAACAACAACACGCCATACTCGACGCGACTATTTACTGCTGCAGCTTTGTTTACAAAATATTACATTGTTATCCAGTGAGAAACCAGGCAGTGCTGATAAAGAAAACACACAGGAACATATTGATTCTTTAGACACATCGTCACGGACAAGGTATTTGGAGAAATTGAAACTTGTTGACAATGAAGACCCGTACAGAATTCCCACATTAAGATGGTCGGTATACCCAGATACTTTCCACCGGTAGTGAACATGGACATTATAACTGGTATGATTTATGGAAAAAGGTTTATACACTTGATGAACTCAGGGCATACAAGTCCGTAGATGCCCCAAAAAAATTTCATCTGTGGATGGGTTAAAGAAGTGAAGTGTATTAACTTCGGTGATAATATTCTAGTGTCCGGCAGGGTTTGCCATTCCCACAGTATGAATCCCACACCATTGCAGCCGTGGTTAATTGTCAAGGTAAGTGGGGAAGAACAATGTGCCCATATTAATTGTATGGCCGATCTAGGAGAAGCCTGTAGCCTACCTTCAATGAAATGGTCTGAACACACTTTGGAATATTTGGAAAGTAACTACTCCTTTCTGTACCTCCACAGTCCCTCGTAAAATTTACTCCTTAAGATAAACTTGCCCTTGACCAACACCCTGGTGCACCAGTTGAGAGAACTTATTATATACTGTACAGTAATGTGCCAACTGAGGTGGTGATGATCATGTTACTTCCTTCTTCAAGGGGTGACTTCTTCATGCTTGTGATATCTAAACCATTGTGTAGATTTTTTCATTGGATTCAATGTGTTTCTCCATTTGAAGATGTTGGATACAGTACAGGTACAGGGGTCCCCGACTTACAACTACCCGCCAGTACGAACGGGGTGAAACTCGAAATTTACACGGACTTATTTTTTACTTTCATTTTCTGTATTATTTTGTCATTCTATTTCTTCTTTTGTCTTAAATTAAGTAATTTTAGATATACAGTATATAAGGACTTGAGAACATCCTCAGGAACAGAACTTGTTCGTAACCCGGGGATCCCCTGTACTTTACTTGATGATCACCGAGATGTTTAGGGAAGGTTGTATGTAATTACAACCCCGTGTGTACTGTACGTCAAGTATCCATCCCTATTATTTTGGTAATTTTGTCCACTTATTGACTTATTTTGTGTGAACACATTACTGTACTGCAAATGTTTGTATGTTTTTAACCCCTTCACTATGGGGATGCCACTTTTAATATTTAGCTAATGCCAGACAATTTTGTTCAGCACAGAGGGGTTCCCATACACAAGTGGTTAAGAAGTCAATAAATATTGATCTACAGGTACAGTATTTTTTACTTCACATGCAGTACTGTAATTACATGTACTGTACAGGAAGGTGAATTGAACTTGGGTTTTATACTCAGTTCTAAAAGTAATTGAAGTGGAACAGGATATAAAATAGTGTCATATCTGCTTCATGATATTTAATCCCATTTATACCTTTACCTGAGTTAAGGAAGGGTATTGTGCCTATAGCATATAGTATGTATAGTATTATCCTGAATTCAGAGTGGAGGGAGACATTCACAAGTCATTTCCTTTTAGCACATCATCATGACACGTTCAGCTTTCTGTGACTGTACTACAATAGTACAGTAATGTTATATTAAAATAGCACAAAGACTAATTCTTATTATTTTTGTTTCAGAGAATAACAGTATTTTGGAGTGTGAGTGAACGTTGTGTGTTTTCCCTCGTAACAAGTAGTAGTCATGGAAGACGCTCACACATATTCCTACGAGGATGTCCTCACGCAGTTTGCGGTTGAACCAAATGTCGGTCTTGCTGAGGCCCAAGTGAAGAACAGCCAGGAAAAGTATGGCCCTAATGGTAAGTTTATGTAAACTTAATTTTGAATTCCATATAGAGTACAGTGCAGTATAAAGAGTTCTGTCCATCCCTCCTGAGCTCTGAAAGAATTTTAATAGAAAGTGGCAGATAAAGGCTCTCTCTGGTGGACATTGTATCACTAATAATGTACAGTACTGTATTATTTTCACAACATTGTATCTTTGAAATTCAGTAGGAAAACTGCAGTAGCCAGCTGGGGTACTTAGGTATCAAGGCTAATGGTTCAGACTTGTTCAAACTAACAAACACAATACCACAAAATAATACCGATAGTTTTTCAACCACCACAAAACACCTTTATGATTTTTACATTATGTATTGCAATAAGTACATTATAATATTTATGTATTATTTTTTATATACGTACTGTACAGCAGCTACTCTTAAGATACATTTGTACCCAAGACCTGGCTGTGGCAACTCATGCATTACAGTACCTATGTAAGTGCATCCTCATACTTCCTTACCTTGTTGATTAGTTTAACTGTTGTCGCATAGAGGGGGTTAGTAGGCTGTGGAAGCTGAGTGGGTACAGCAATTGCCTCCTCTCCTATTGGTTACTGATTTGTGTTTGGGACACACCTAGTCCACCCAGCTGTGAATGGTTACCAAACAACATTTGGGAAAGTGAAGGTTGGTGAGTGCTGCGTCTGCTACTCTGGTTTCTTGTTCAGCTGCACTCTGTTTTGGGCCATCAGGCATATGGGACCCATTTTTACATAGTTCTAAGCATTATTGTCATTTTTTTTATTTATTTTTCCTGCTGGTGTGTTTACAAATGGTTAATGACATACATGTACTGACCAGTGTGTTTGTATCCAGCACTGACAAGACATGGTGTGTAGCCTAGCTTGTTGTGTGGAGAAGTTGTGTTTGTTATGTTTATACCAGGTGCAGGTGTGGTGTACTGTGGTGTGGTCAGAAGTGGAATTACTGTACTAGACATTATATATATATCTTTTCCTTGTTGGATGAGGAGGACAGTGGGGTTAATCACATCTAAATATAATCTTCACCTTTTGGGGGATTATTTTATTCTCTTTTATTCCTGGACATAGGTGAGTATTTAGCGGTGTCTGTTCACTTTCCTGTGTGGTATGTTCTTGCTGTCACCTAAAAAAAAGGACCTTTAATAGTCACTACCTGGCTGAACAAACTATGGTGCTGGATGATTGTGGCTCTGGGGAGTTGTGTATATAAACTCAGGCCAAGGTCAACTGTTCTGTTACGGTATTTGGGTTACTGTTGTAGTTGGATGCTTCTTACATAAGCATTTGGGGATTGTTTTGGGCACTATTTACCTCATTTGTCTGGGTTTAGATACTAGTCACTTGAGCTAGGTGTTGAGGGTTTGAATAGAGGATAAAGCTCTCATTTTATAACCAAGTGTGGGTGGGGAACTCACTCACCCTCACCATCCTCCCAGTGAGTAGTGCAATGATTACACTCACTGTCTTTAACCTTTATTTGTAACGTGTATCCTAAGGTGCCCATATAAGACAGGATGGTACAGATAATGGATTACTTTTGGCCATCACCATTGAGGGTTAAGCCTGCCAGTACCGGTAGACATAATTGTGTAACATGAGTCCGCTTCAGCCAGTGGTATTTCAGTGTCAATCCTTCATTTCTAGCTTTGACTTCTACTGTAAATGAAATACAGTACTGTATACTATACTGTATTAAAACAACCAGTAGCCAGCCTGGTTATTGGACATGCAGGTTGTAGTTGTGATATTAAACTTCCAGGAACTTTAATTCCTGTATACTGTACATATTAAGAAAATACTGTAGTTATTTTTCTTTTATTAATTTACAATTATCCCCTGTGCAGAGTTACCAACAGAGGAGGGCAAGTCTCTCCTACAGTTGGTCCTCGAACAATTTGATGATCTACTTGTTAAAATTTTGTTAATGGCAGCAATAATATCGTTTGTAAGTATTTTACCTCATTTACCATTATTATCAATATCCTTAATTCTTGATTATATATTTTCTTGCCAAAGACTGAAATAAATTCCTTAATAGTTTTCTTAAATTTACTGGTGCTTTGTTACATTCCTGGATAAATCTACTTATGCCCCCATGTGTATCTTTATTGTGTGTTGCAGGTGTTAGCATGGTTTGAAGAAGGTGAAGGAACCGTTACTGCCTTTGTTGAACCTTTTGTTATTCTGCTGATCCTCATAGCTAATGCCATAGTTGGTGTGTGGCAGGTATGTGCTTCTTACACAATCATGTTACTTTGAATATATCATCTTGTGGTACATCTTATAATATTTTAACAGTTAGGGAAATGAAGGCAGGCAAGTTCAGTGCCAGTCATACTGCCTTCTTATGTATCTCACAAAGGCTTAGTCTACTGTGTGCTGTATCAACACTGTCCCTAATCAGCCTTTAGCCCACAGTAATCTGCTATAGAGAGGATAAAGCTTGAGCTATGCAACATTTTCTTGTGATGAATTAGTCTTTTCTATTTCTCCTCAGGAACGTAATGCTGAATCTGCTATTGAGGCATTAAAGGAATATGAACCAGAGATGGGAAAAGTAATTCGTGCCAATAAGCCGGGAGTACAAAAGATTCGTGCCAGAGAGATCGTTCCTGGAGATATAATTGAAGTGTCAGGTAGGTCAAATACTCTTCTTTGTTTACTTACCTTGTGGTAGCCTTTACATGTACAATATAAGAACTTTTTTCGAGAGCTGCGCAATGAGTAGCTACGTAGTGACGGGGAAAGAAAGACCACAGCTTGTTTAAAATCCCCCAGTGTTCCTGATAATCTTGTTTTAGGTTAAGACTTTCTTGCTGCCAACACTTGGTAGATTGTTGTGTACAGTATTAATATCTTTTCTGCATGACATCTTGGTCAGTTTGTCTGAAGCATTAATCATCTTCAAGAAATAGTTGGGATTAATGTTTTCCATCTTGCCCAGAGGTTTATTTGTCAAACACCAGCCTTTATATTTAACATTTGAAAACTTGTCATTTCAAACACCTTACTGCATCTGGTTGTTTGAATCGTCATTACAGGAGCGATAATAGTTATGTTTGAGACAATTGATGGCATTATAGAGCTGAGTGGCGATAATCTTGACTTCTCAATTGTCACTAACTCAGGTAGAAGACAATTCTGTCACCCTTACTCCACCATATACAGGGATGCAGGGTACGTAGTGTTAACTTATTCAACTGTAAGTACAAGAAACCTTTGATAATCCAGACATCATTAATACAGAAATTCAGATATTTCCAGCTAGGAAAGAAGAGAACATTCCGGAACATTCTATCTCTCAATGCTGCTCGTTTTCTTGGAGCATGTTACATCACTCCTTCCACCCATGATGATGATGTAACACAGGCATCCTTAGTCATGATTCTTAAAAGTAAATAAAAGTGTCAGAATATGATTGTGTAAATACTGTATTACCTCACAATTCCACTGACATTATCTTCACTGAACAGATGTTTGGGGATGAGATTAAGGTAGAGAATACAATACTTTAAAAATAATTCTTTGCTTTAATTATATATGATACCGAGGGAACGTGTAGTTATAAAAGTCACAGTATAATTTTGATTCAGTTTTTTTGCGATTTAACTCGTGTGCTTTTGTTCAGGTCACGCAGTCTTAAGTAATGTATGGGTCTTAGTTCTCCTGTTACCTGAGAACTTGTTTGTCTCCACATGTTCAGTGGTGGACTAGCTTTGTTTACAGCTGGACTAGTGTACTGTGAGGCCTTAGGAAGATTTTTATGTGTAGTTCTCCCTAGCTCTTCATCATGGCAAATGTAGTAGGTGTTGAGTTTGGTAAAGTGAGGTACATTTACAGTGAAACCTTCATATACAGCAACAAGACTTTACTCTCTATGTAATGGGCCTTCATCTCTATATAGTTCATTAGATTGCACATCTAACAGAGCCTCGATATAATGGACTTTCATCTCTATGTACAGTAATATCTCCGTTAGCCGGAATCCCTCAAACCCGGAACTTTCCGTTAGCCGGAATTGAAATTTTATCGGAAATTTGTTTCCAAAGCCGGAATTTTCTGGAAAATTACGGCTTTGGGAGTGATTTTCTGGGGGGGCACATAATTTCTGGAAATTTCTGAGAAAATTTTCCCAATGTCCGGAAAATTCCGGGGATGGGGCAATTTTTCGGGTTTGGGAGATGAAAATCAGGCGCATTTTCTGGAAATTCCGAGAAAATTTTTCTGTTACCTGTAAAATTCTGAGGATGAGGGATATTTTTCCGGGTTCGAGAGATGATGTAATGAGAAATTTCTGGAACTTCCGTGAAATTTTGTTTCTGTTACTCAGAAAATTCCGGGGATAGGGGAGTTTTTTGCGGCTTTGAGAAAGTCGTCTCGTTACCCGGAAATCTCTCATTCCCGGAAGTGCTCTGCACCAATTGTTCCGACTGACGGGGATATCACTGTAGTTCGTTAGATGGGGGTTTCACATCTGACTGACCCTCGATATAACAAACTATCATATCTATATATAGTTCACTAGATGGGTAGCAGCACCCTAACCCGGGACTTTAGGGTTAAATAGAGGTTTTGCTCTACTGTACGAGAATCAAGTCTTTAGAAAATTGCATACTTTATGATTTGAAGAGAGAAAACTTACGAAGGAGAGTGACAGACAACCAGACAGCTCTACAGTATTTCCCGAAGATTACCAACAAGTTCACCGTTCCTTTTGCTCCACTGTATATACTGAATATATTAATTTTAATTGTCGAAGGTACAAAATAATAATAGTCAGTGGGAATAATTGGTTCTTTTTTTTATTATAGTTTTATTTTGACCCATTGGAACATATCCCAGTTAAACAGTTGTCTGGGGTTATCAGTAATAGGTTTCTTAACACATATTGTTGAGGTATATGTATAAATGAAACCTGTGCTCTTAATACTGTAGTAATATTTTTCCCACTATGAAAGTGTTAAAGAATACCCAATGTTTGTCCAGTAAGATGGTCAGTATCTTCCATTTGATTTATATATACTGTACTGTACAGTGTTAGAAAAGTCCCTGATCATCTGCTGAAATAATTAAAAATGTAGTTGTTGACTTTTTTCTGCTTACAGTAACTATTGGAAATGGATACCAGCCCCAATATTTACTATACAGTACGTAGCTACTCATTGCATGGCTCTCGAAAAAAAAAGTGACTTATGTTGTATATGTAAAGGCTACAACAAGCAGTGTCTCTTAATAATGTATTCTGCTGATTAGCGGTAGATGTGGCTCTCTCAATGAATGTGTTTTGCCAAAGTGGCCCCCCTGCAAAAATTAGTGAATAATACTGGTCTAGAGTCATCTTGGGTGAAATTATGAGAACAGGCTGTGGATTCTCACAGGATCAAAATTGTATCAATTGTCAGTGCAGTCCGTCTACCATCTAGGGTTATGTGGCACAGTCTTAATGAGACTCCACCTGACCTTGATACAGTATTTGTTCTTCTCTCTATCTCTGTTTTGATTTCCTCTTTACAATACTTCAACTTTTAGTGCATCAGGGAGATAACTCCTTCAATTATTATAACCGAGTCCTTTCTCAAAACTTGATGTCTTTCCCGGTTCTAATTGTGTTACGTGTCTGTATTTCAGTTGGTGACAAGATTCCTGCAGATATGCGGTTGATCAAGATATATTCCACCACCTTACGCATTGATCAGTCCATCCTGACTGGGGAGTCTGTTTCAGTAATCAAACATACAGATATTGTTCCAGATCCCAAAGCTGTCAATCAGGTAAATTTAGTTTTTATTGTATCTCTAATTTGGTGATTTTTACAAATTTAATTACTAATAGAAACCATTGATAACTAGAATCAGAGGACTTAACAGATAGGGTTTTGTATCTGAGGAGAAAACAACATGTGGGTTGTGTTCATCACTGTGTCAGTGTTGGTAATGGATACAAGGATGCAGACACTGTTCTGTGGTCACATGGTTCAGGACTAAGAGTGAGGTATAAGAGTAAGGATGTTAAGTCAGGAAGCTATGGGTTGAAAGTGTGAAACCAAATTTGTAAAGGGATTGAACAACACTCCTAATTATTACTATTAAACTAAGGAAATCTGTTGTGTGTTCACATATTGTTACCTACAAGTCTGATGCAGGCAAACCAACACTCGACTCTCATCTTCACCTATGGGATCATTTCATAGCCTACTTTGCCAACATTTTTATAACTGGAGATGTATGTACAGTACAATATTTCCTCTCAAATGTACACGAGTACTGTACAGTCGGGGTCAACAGTTCGCTCCCTCCCAAAATGAAGCAGCATCGACCCCAAACGAGATACAACAGTTAGTGTAAGTCATTTCAGGGACTCATTCCCGTGGCTCAGTTTCACGGCGGGGAGCGAACTTTTGTCCATGACTGTACATCTCATATACAGTATTGTACCTTTGTTGATATACTATGTAAGACCTGTGTAAGTGATCCTTGTGCCTGATTTGTCTTGGTTGTAAGTGCCAGAAGAAAATGGGTATAGTTCACTACATAGGTTATTGCTTGTTTATTAAATAACTGAACAAAAGGATTTAGGAGGTAGATATATGTTGAGACAACTAAATGGTAGCAATTGTGGGAGCTATCTTGCCACGTTGAATTAATTTATAAGGTTATGTGGGGAAGATCAAGTGAGGTCATTAAGAGCCATAGAAAGTTAAATGTCTGTTCATCGCCGTCAATGTTTTATGCCCATTTTCCACACTTGTGTGGGTTGACCACAATTTCCTGATGGCAGCTCTTCACGATGCATGGACTCATGCAGACTCTCATGTCAGGCTCTTACTTCTGGTGTCATTTCTTACATTCTCTTCATGCATCATTGAGAGTATGGGTAAGGTTTTGCACGGGGAGGGAGTCTGAGATGATTTGGGCACGTGGAGAGAATGACGGGGACCATGAGTCAAGAGTTGCATGTTTGAATATAGGGAGGAGAGCCAGGGATAGACCAAGAATGATATGGGGAGATGTAAGAAATGACCTCAGAGATAAAACCTGGTGAGAGAGACTGCAGCATGGAGAGCTGCCATCAGGCAATCATTGGTAACCCACATATGTATGGAAAATGTCCAGAAAACAGTGATGATAATGTAGAAATGAAGAGATAACATCATGAAAGGTGTACAAGGTTAGATATTATTATAGAAAAGTCTTGTGTTGAAAAGATCAGTGATGTGAGTTAAGGAAAAGCATAAAGAATTTTGGGGTGATGGTGAAAAAATTAATTCAACTGTTAGTTATGGAATGTACCGTCATTTAAAAATAAGATAAATGAGGTAAAATATGAGTAGTGAGAGGTAGATCAGGTGTTGAGTGACAATGAAAGCCTCATTTTGTATCATTCCTTATTTACACAACACATTACTGTACATTAAGATGGAGTACTGTACATTACCAGACTATACCCTTTGCATGCTAACCTGGCCCATAAGCCCCGCCCATCGTCTATAGCTACAAATAGCTGATTGGTTCCCCTGAGTGTTTTACCTCCCTCGGACTGAGGGTATTCAGGTCAATCCTTTTTGGTAAATATTAAAAAATTTATAACATCCTCTCTGAAGTGCTAATGCCTTGAAATCATTGACAATTTGATAGTTCAGATATTTAACATTATTTTAGATAATAACAGGTCTGCTTATCAATTGTGAACACATCTAGTTTGAATTTTCTGTGAACCAATCGGCTATTAGTTTAGAAGAGGGGCGTGGCTTATGGGCCAGGTTAGTGTCTAAATACTGTAGTTATTGAATCAGATGGTAGAGAACATTGGAAATTATTTATTATATCATTATTTGGCCACAGTTTGCTGTTGATGACATAACCATCATTGTGAGGCTTGTGTTTCTCACCACTCATACAACAAATTGGTTGTTATAACACTAAAGATACCACAAAAATATAGAGAAAACTGCCATACACTTAATCACAATTTTCATGACTGGACAACGGTGATTGTCGTACTGCGGGAAGGGTGTGAGTTTGTAGAGAAGGATTCATAGGGGATCACAGATGCATGAGACTTGAGTTTAGTTATTACATTCTGTAGATGTACTCAAATATTAGAGGGACCCTTGATGGCTGTTAACTAGGAGTCAACGGAAGAACAATAATGTTACAGTTTTTATGTGTAAGTGTTCTGTTATGCAAGTATTGATGCCATCATGTGTGGTTGAGTGTCTTAGTCTTATTTTCTTATGCTAGACTTTGTTAGTTTTCCAGATTGAGAGTTTAGTCTGTTGGTTAATGGTGATTCTTAGACTTACTGGGTTTTTTTTTGAGAGCTTCGGGGCATTGAATTGTATATGATGAAGTGTAGAGTCAGTACTGTGCATTGTATTCCCGTTGTAACCATGGTGAGACGGACATAAAAAAGGGTACAGAGGTTATTCCATTAAACACCAGTTAAAGGACTCCTTACATTTACTACAGTAGTTTGAAAATTAGCTCACAAGCTAAGTTGTTGAGGTAGGCCATGTAATGATGGAATTTATAAACCATGTTCACTTTACAAGCATTCGTACCAGGATGGGGCAAGTATTGCCCGTGCTATAATCCAGGTAAAGCTTCTTTGAAATATACTTCTGATCCTTTTCTTTGAATATGACCGCTGTTTATGGTAGTGTGCTTGCTCTATTCACTAATTGTCTATGATTCCCAGAGCAAACACCAGTTGCATGTAGGAGGAACATCATTGTCTGCTCATATTTCTGTTTTCAAATGAAGTAAATTAAGGTGAGCAGAATGAGTGAGACTTGAGTACTGTATAAGAGAACAACTCTCCTGTACCAGTAACCTGTTGTTGCTGGCCTCAATTATTATTGGATCTCTCTGCAGCACATATGATGGTCTAACCTGGATACTGTTACGGTTCTTTAGCATCACTGCCTTAGAGTTCTCGGTGGCGAGCCTCCTCCTCCTCCGCCAGTAGATGTTCTGTTTTACAACATGTGTATAATTATCACCTCTCACTGGCACCATTGTCCTGAAAGATCCACTCACCCTCTTCATTATTACAGTTCATTAGCTTTTGTTAAAGTGTACACTGTACTGTACTCTCCTGTACATGTGCATTTAAAACTGTTTTTTATACCCTTGATGTACATAAGTAATTACTGTACTTGTTAACAAATCTCTACCCCTCTGCCCTCATTGTGATGGCATTTTAGTGCACTCACCATTATTAAGTTTATGTTTGTTAGTATTTTTGTTTTTCACTTTTTACGGAGTCAGGTGGGGTATGCAGAGTCAGGTGGGGTATGCAGAGTCAGGTGGGGTATGCAGAGTCAGGTGGGGTATGCAGAGTCAGGTGGGGCATGCAGAGTCAGGTGGGGCATGCAGGGTCAGGTGGGGCGTACAGAGTCAGGTGGGGCGTACAGAGTCAGGTGGGGTATATAGAGTCAGGTGGGGCGTACAGAGTCAGGTGGGGTGTACAGAGTCAGGTGGAGTAAACAGTAACTGAAATACTTGAGATATGTTACATCTTGAGACTTACAAGCTATGAATACAAAATAGTACTTCTTGGTACTGTACTGGTCATGGTTGTGGGAAACTGGAAAAAACCTCAGAAAATAGAGTGCTGAAATTTGATTTGAAAAGATGAGGAATTCTGGTTATATCTTCCACATATTTGTAACAGTTATCTTAGTAAAGTCGTATTAAATATTTATGAGGGATAATGCAAAAATAGTGGTTTTGTTATGAATATATATATTATTTTAAGCATGAAAATTGTCCATGTAATCTAGAACACACTTGTTTAGTTAGAAATGTGTATTGTTGGTTAGGTTAGGTTATGTCTTTATTGATTGTGTATATTGAACATGCAGTGAAACCCCCATATAACGGACATCTCTCTTCATGTAAACGGACCCTCGATATAATGGATTTTCATCTCTTATATACAGTATAGTTCATTGGCTGGAAGTTTCACGTCTAATGGATCATTGATATAATGGATTTTCCTCTCCATGTCGTCCATTAAATAGAGGTTTCACTGTATTTATTTTGTTTGAGATGAGTCATGTTGAAGAATATTGGAGCCGATTTTTTTTTTTTTTTTTTTTAAGAAAGGATATTGTGTTGGATTATTAACACAAGTATGGATAAGCAGTAGTACAGTAATACTTCTGTTCTATGATGGTTACAGATTTTGTATTCCTCTGTATTTGGAATATTTTTTTTTTATTCTAAACTCTTAGTGTTTGAGTCTCAGATGATTATTCTGAATTTTTGGGGGCTAATTTCTTTCTGGTAATTTCCTTGCCTTTCCAAAAGTTAATTCAGTAATCTCTCTTAGCGGTGTGATCATATGGCAGAAATACATCAGTACATTGTATTTCATAACATTTTCACAGTGGATTTGATCACACAATAACAGTACTGTACTTTAAGATTAGGTAAATAGTACAGTAGACGATGATGTTCGTGGGTAAATACTTGGACCCGAGAGAGAGAGATTATTTAATTTTGTCCCATAATTTATTTAGTTAATCTACACATAATTATTTGTTGGGATTTATAATGCACAACAGTGATTTTACAATGGAAACATTCACAAAATTCCACCTAATTTGGAATATTTTGGAACTTAAGTCAACACTTTGGCCACATTTATTATAAACTGCAGAGGGGTTACTGGATTAGCGTTATGGTATGGTTAGGTTAGGTTAGTTGTGCATTTGGTTTAATCAGGTTAGGTTAGTGGTAGAATTGTAAGAGATGAAATATTCTGTGGATTAATGTAAGAGAAGTAAGAATAGGAAGATGATTTAAAAAGTTATTTATGGTCAGTCATCTTAGATAGCTCTCTTATCGAGCTGTAGCAGAGAGACTTTGTACCATAAGTCGAAAAACAAAATGACAACCCGTGGAAAGGTTTTGTAATATGACGTGAAGAGTCATAGTGAAGATATGTTTTGAGATGGATGTCGGTAAAGATGATCAACGGTGTTTGGGGGAGTCATACTGTACTTGAGGCCATTCTTGCTGCCTTGTGGGAGAACGGTTGTGTAGTCAGACATGAGTGAAGCAGGAGGTTGGTAATAGAAGTGTTAGTACAGTACAGTTTTCAAATGTCAGTATCTTTAAGAGATGGGATGTTCAGTTTAACCTATACTGTACTATATATGGTATTGAAGTCAATTGTGGTAAGTTAGTCACACACACACATGCATACAAGCACACTCACTCACCTACGATATGCACACATACACTGTTACTGTATATGGCACTTGCACTTGTGTACATCTGCGTGTAGGTTCATGATGCATACACACATGTACAGTTGTGGACAAATTCCCTGGACACTTAACAGTATCTGGCTTGTAGGAACATTAGGTGACTGGGATTGGAGGAATTTTACAGAAATATACATTCATGAAGTGCATGTACTTTTCCCACTTACAGTATGTGTAAAAGTGTTCTTGCAGAGAATTGTGCACACACAAACACATGCTTATAATCTTCCACATAGACACAAATATATGAATACAAACATCTATTCTGTACTCACAAAGAGCAGACACTGACATCCTATTGCATACATACAAACATGTACTCACAGAACCATTTACACACCCTTACACAACCATGCATGCTTACACACTTTGATAAGGTTTATACAAACAAGCTTATGCACACAAATATGTCTCCGCACAATTACAAACAAGCATGCATGTGTCTGTGTGTATATATTCATGCACATGCTCACACACATGTAAGTGTACACAGTCATGCACATGCTCACACACATGTAAGTGTACACAGTGATACACATGCTCACACACATGTAAGTGTACACAGTGATACACATGCTCACACACATGTAAGTGTACACAGTGATACACATGCTCACACACATGTAAGTGTACACAGTGATACACATGCTCGCACAGTGTCTGGCCGAAACAAAGAGGTTTAATTGTGTGACAACTCTCTACAGTATATATTAGTCCACATCATAGTACAGTACTGTGAGATTCATGCTACGTCTCTTGGCATGAAACCTGCTCCTCCGTAATGAAAATCTTTACTTTGTTTGCCTTATTATAATGCTCAAACACTTAAGCAGAGGCTCAGCTTTGGTAAACAGAGGTGATCCAGAACAGGTGTGTAGAGCTACGCTTGCAGTGCCATTTTTCACATCTTTTTTATTAATTTTTGTTGATATTTTTCAATTCAATTTCATGCTTACCAAGTGCCTAAACAAATGATACTCATATTGATTATTGACTCCCCACCGTAGTTGTGTTATCTTAACGGAAGAGTTTAACATAATTATTTTTTCTCCTTGTAGGACAAGAAAAATATTCTCTTCTCTGGTACCAACGTAGCGGCAGGCAAGGCCCTGGGGATTGTTATGGGTACTGGACTTGGAACTGCTATTGGTAAGTATTGATTTATGTCTTGAGAAAGTAGTACACTATACAGTACCTGAATAATTTGTTTCAACCTCTCGTTAGTTTGTCGTGGAGAACAATGTTAGGGATGTGGTGCTGTGACCTTCATGGTGATGGATTATGTGGTAACACCTCTTCTATCTTGGTGTAATACAAGAGCTGCACCACTTAGGGAGATAACTAGAAATGGTGGGTTGATCCTGAAATCCTTTTTTCTGACAGAGCAAGTAACAGTCCACTCATTAAGAACTTCATTTAGGTTAACATTACAATACCCTCAAGTGCCAGAATTATTTTATATGGAACAACATCACACAATAATTCTTTTTGCTGTTGTTAATGTACAGTCATGGAAAAAACTTGGCTCCCTGCGGTGAAACGGAATCATGACTTACCCTGACTGTCATCTGGTGCGGGTGTGTTGTTTCATCTTGTTTGGGGGTCAATGCTGCCTCTTCTTTTTGGAAGGGAGTAAACTTATGATCCTGACTGTACATGACACCACATAAAAATGTAAAGGAAACAGCAAATTTTTGTCACAGCTTTTAAACATTGAAGAGAAATTATTTATATTACAAAATGCATTAAGTAATATAATTGAGAAAATTTGTTGTGATAAGTACAATACCTTAGATCCTGCCAATAAATGGTGGTCACTAGTTGTGGATCTTCTCCTCAAACACAGTACCAACAAACACAACTTTCTGGAGTTCTTATGTGTTGTGTTGTATCATAGTAATGTACGTGTTGCCGACCATTGTGTTGCGGGCCATTGTGTTGCCGACCATTGTGTTGCGGGCCATTTCATAATAATCGTCAGTGAATCGGTTCACTCCTTACAAACTCTTGTGCTAACTGCTTTCACGTTGGTGTTGTGTGACTTTACTTTCCCCGAGTAATTATCTTTCTGTTGTGTATTATAGCAAGGGTGGATCCAGGGGGCCCTAGGGGTGCGGACCCCTTTTCATCAGAAAATTCCAGTACTATTTTTAAATGCAGTATTGTACTCAGGCTTTTTTGTTCATAAAAAGTATTTACTATTGACCTCAGAATATCTCCTATCAAGGGCACATGGCTTCAAAATGGCCTCAAAATACCCAGTTGAGTGGGCTCGCTTTGCTTGCCCCCCCCCCCTTCTTGATATTCCTGGATCTGCCCCTGTGTAGACAGTATGAAGTGCTTTGACTAATATTATCTCTTGGTAAATTTTATTGAATTATCATTAGTCTTGTATTGTCTATTATACTGTACTGTTATGTCTTGCAGGGAAAATTCGTACCCAGATGGTCGAGACTGAAGATATCAAGACGCCCCTTCAACAAAAGCTTGATGAGTTTGGTGAGCAGCTGTCCAAGGTTATATCTGTCATCTGTATTGCTGTTTGGGCTATCAATATTGGACACTTCAATGATCCTGTTCATGGTGGTTCCTGGGTCAAGGGTGCTATCTACTACTTTAAGATTGCCGTTGCTCTCGCTGTGGCGGCCATCCCCGAAGGTCTGCCCGCCGTCATCACCACTTGCCTGGCCCTGGGTACCCGCCGTATGGCCAAGAAGAATGCCATTGTCAGGTCTCTTCCCTCTGTAGAAACTCTGGGTTGCACCTCTGTCATCTGTTCTGACAAGACTGGTACACTCACCACCAACCAGATGTCTGTCTCTCGCATGTTTATCATGGACAAGGTCGAGGGGAATGACTGTTCTTTACTTGAATTTGAAATAACTGGATCTACTTATGAACCTGTTGGCGACATATACCTGAAGGGTAGTAGAGTGAAGGGCACTGACTTTGAGGGGTTGAAGGAATTAGCTACCATCGCCTGCATGTGCAATGACTCTTCAATTGATTTTAATGATTTCAAGAATGTGTTTGAAAAAGTTGGTGAGGCAACTGAAACAGCTCTTATTGTTTTGTCAGAAAAGATCAATCCTTATTCTCTTAATAATTATGGTGTGGATCGCCGCACCGCTGCTCTCATTTGCAAACATGATATGGAGTCAAAGTGGAAAAAGGAATTTACTCTGGAATTCTCAAGAGATCGCAAATCCATGTCATCATACTGCGTGCCCCTCAAGCCTACCCGCCTGGGAACTGGACCAAAGATGTTCTGCAAGGGAGCTCCAGAGAGTATAATTGATCGCTGTTCCCATGTACGTGTTGGTACTCAAAAGTTTCCTCTTACTGCTGAAATTAAGGACAAGATCTTGGCCGTTACTCGTGCTTATGGTGGAGGACGTGACACTCTCCGTTGCCTAGCCCTGGCTACTATTGATAGTCCAGTATCGCCTCAGCAGATGGACCTTGCAGATGCTACCAAATTCCATTCTTATGAGGTCAACATGACCTTTGTTGGTGTAGTGGGTATGCTTGACCCGCCCAGAAAAGAAGTTCGAGATGCCATCAGAAGGTGTCGTGCTGCTGGTATCCGTGTTATTGTTATCACAGGAGACAATAAAGCCACTGCTGAAGCTATTTGCCGTCGTATTGGACTCTTTGGCGATAACGAAGACACAGCTGGTCTTTCCTACTCTGGTCGGGAATTTGACGAGCTCAGTATTGCAGAACAGAGATCAGCCTGCATGCGTGCCCGTCTCTTCTCTCGGGTGGAGCCCTTCCACAAGTCAAAGATTGTCGAGTACCTTCAGGGAGAGAATGAAATCTCGGCCATGACTGGTGATGGCGTCAATGATGCTCCTGCTTTGAAGAAAGCCGAGATTGGCATTGCTATGGGCTCAGGCACAGCTGTAGCCAAGTCTGCTTCAGATATGGTGTTAGCCGACGACAACTTCTCCACCATTGTAGCTGCTGTTGAAGAGGGCCGTGCTATTTACAACAACATGAAGCAGTTCATCCGCTACCTGATCTCCTCCAACATTGGTGAGGTTGTTTCCATTTTCTTGACAGCTGCTCTTGGTCTCCCTGAGGCTCTTATCCCTGTCCAGCTTCTGTGGGTCAACCTGGTAACTGATGGTCCACCTGCTACTGCCCTGGGCTTCAACCCTCCCGACCTTGACATCATGGATAGACCTCCTCGTAAGGGTAACGAGTCCCTCATCTCTGGTTGGCTCTTCTTCCGCTACATGGCCATTGGCTGTTATGTTGGGTTTGCTACTGTGTTTGCTGCATCATGGTGGTTCATGTATGATCCTACTGGCCCTCAAGTTACCTATTATCAGATGTCACACCATCTCTCATGTCCAACTGACCCAGAAAACTTTATAGGATTGGACTGCAGTATATTTGCCCATCCTGCTCCTATGACGATGGCTCTGTCTGTACTGGTCACCATCGAGATGCTCAACGCTCTTAACAGGTATTGTAGTCTTTTATGTATTTAACCCTCATTAACATCCTCACTGAATAATGATTCCTGTAACATTAACAAATGATTTTTGCAACAAGGACATGTGTGTGCAATAATATTTTGGTAATTTATTGGAAGAACTTTCATTTTCTAGAGATACATGCTTACTGAAGCAGCTATTTATGTGACAGTAAACCAAACTATAAAACTTTTCAACAAGTCTTTTCAAGTATTGTTTCAGTCTTCACTTAGTAATTATTTCCAGGGTCATTAATTAACACTAATTGAATTTAAAATTTTTGAACCTATATCTTTAACCAGCATGTTGACTACAGGAACCTTTATAGGAAATTTGAAGAAAACCTAAATTTTGACTGCCTGACCTCAAACACAATATAGTAAGTCAGGTGTTTTTGGGCCAGATACCTATTATTATTTGGAAAGTGACATGTTTAATGGTAAAGCCAGTCTCTGTTCATGGTAAAACATAATGTAATTTAAAACTTATAGGTACAGTAGTAACAGTACTGTATAACATAGGTGGTGTTTTAGATACTACAGGCATCCCTCGCTTACTGAATCATAACTGTCCGAAAATTTGCCTCATTTCGCTATCTGAAGGTGATATTCGTGTATTTGAATGTGGGGTATGGCTCAAGAGTCAGCTGGGATGGCCAAGTGAATGTACTCTTGGTCAAAGCGGATGACGTCACACCCTCCCCATCCCACTTCCTCTCACGTCATTTGGTCTGTTGGGTACAAGTGAAGTGCTCTCTCACTCTTTCTCTCCATCCACCCTTTCATGAATCTGAACACAACGTCATCCAAGTATAGTGGTGATTCCTCTGCTACTCCACCGTCACCAGGAGACCCCACAAACCTGTGGTAATGTGAACCAATCTTGAGATAATGAAGCATCACAAAGCCCAATGTAAGGTAATGTACAGTACTGTACTGTATATGTATGTACTTTGTTTAGTGTTATCATTTTTTTGGGGGGTATAACAGTTGGGGGACCAAAATGGCCACCCCAGCTGACTCCTGGGCTGGGCTCTGCCTTGCACACAATTTTAATTTTCAATCGGACCAACGTTTGGATAAGCGAAAATCACCTTCGGAGTTAAAAAAAAGAGGCGTCAGAATAGAATATTTAGGTCAGTGAATTCTGGAATGCCGAAGAATGCTTATATAGTGTAATCGGTATTTTAAGTGTCTTAAATTAGTTGTAATTATTACAAGGGCCATTAATTAACACTAACTACACTATTCAAATTTAGAATTTTTGGGTCCAGATCCAACCAGCATGTTGAGGAGTATTTTTATATTAAATTTTAACAAATATAAATTTTGACCAATTTTGCTGAAACACCAGGTACAGTAGGGCATTTTTTGTGGCCAAAATTATTGTTTTACTGCATCTGGAAAGTGAAAAGTAACATTTTTAAATGGTAAAGTCTGTCTATATTCATGGTAAAGAGGCCTAGTGTAATTGGCATTTAAAATGGGATACCTTGTTCCCTCCAAACTGTGAGTTTCACAGCTCCTTAATCATAAGTTCAGCTTTAGGGATGATGTACCTGACACATCTTCCTTAACACATGATCACTTGGTAATTATTTCACAATTTTGGGGGCACTTTGTACCTCTACCACTTGGGTCAAAATTAACATACACAGCTATGTCCATATTTACTAAGATAGGGCCTTGAGGTGCTCCAGTAATTGGTAAATATGACACATCATCATGGCTCATGGTAAGTTACATCAACCACACAATTGAAATAAAAAAGTCTGTGAAAAATGAAACGCTGTAATGCAGAATATTCAACACTGAAACTGAACTAGAAATCAGTGCAGCGTGGAGCTTGTGGTTGAACCTGTGAGGAAGAAGTTTCATGATGGGTATGTCTCAGTTCCTATTGTTGAGCACTTAATATCATTTTCTTAGTTCTGATATTCGCCCTGTAGGTCCTTTTCTTCCTGCAACAGTACAGTAATTGGTGATTTTCCTTACTCCTACAGCTTATCTGAGAACCAGTCTTTGGTGATGATGCCACCTTGGTACAACATGTGGTTGCTGGCGGCGATGGCTCTCTCCATGATATTGCATTTCTTCATCCTCTACTTTGACATTCTCACGGTAAGTGCTGGAAGCGCCTCATTACAACTTAACGAAGCTTATATATAACTGAAAGAAATATAAGTTAAGAGTACCAGCTGTAGGGAAGGTCTGAAGGATGGATGGATTAAGTCAGTTGAAGGAAGGTGTGTGGTTAAGTCAGTTGAAGGAAGGTGTGTGGATTAAGTCAGTTGAAGGAAGGTGTGTAGATTAAGTCAGTTGAAGGAAGGTGTATGGATTAAGCCAGTTGAAGGAAGGTGTGTGGATTAAGCCAGTTGAAGGAAGGTGTGTGGATTAAGCCAGTTGAAGGAAGGTGTGTGGATTAAGCCAGTTGAAGGAAGGTGTATGGATTAAGCCAGTTGAAGGAAGGTGTGTGGATTAAGCCAGTTGAAGGAAGGTGTATGGATTAAGTCAGTTGAAGGAAGGTGTGTGGATTAAGTCAGTTGAAGGAAGGTGTGTGGATTAAGTCAGTTGAAGGAAGGTGTGTGGATTAAGTGTTGAAGGAATGGATTAAGGCCAGTTGAAGGAAGGTGTATGGATTAAGCCAGTTGAAGGAAGGTGTGTGGATTAAGCCAGTTGAAGGAAGGTGTATGGATTAAGTCAGTTGAAGGAATGTGTGTGGATTAAGTCAGTTGAAGGAAGGTGTGTGGATTAAGTCAGTTGAAGGAAGGTGTGTGGATTAAGTCAGTTGAAGGAAGGTGTGTGGATTAAGCCAGTTGAAGGAAGGTGTATGGATTAAGTCAGTTGAAGGAAGGTGTGTGGATTAAGTCAGTTGAAGGAAGGTGTGTGGATTAAGTCAGTTGAAGGAAGGTGTATGGATTAAGTCAGTTGAAGGAAGGTGTACGGTACTTAACGCTCTAATAACTCTCAGTGGAACTTGCTATTTTTCTTGTATATTTTAAAACTTTCTTCATTATTGACCTGTGGACTACCATGTGCTTTCAGTACTGTGCATTCTGGGACAATCACAAAGACCTTTCCCCTCAAAAACTAAAACAAATGTAGACTATTTGAATATATTGAAGGGATTAATAAACACACTTGTAAATTATTATTATTATTATTATTAAACAAAATATAAGAATAAAGTACTGTATTATTACATCTCCAGAAATCACAGGAGTATCTTTAATTACATAAAACATGACATTGTACCACAAAGAACTACTATAAGATGTATACAGTACACATAATTAACTGAGGATAACAGGAATTGTACACAAAATTAAAAGATTTAGTATTAATGCATTATATATAAAAATACCCATCACCACCATTATTCTGGTATCACAGAGGTCAGCAGTCTCTACTAATCTGAGATCTTCTTGGCTACATTTTTCCTTATAATTGAGGAGCTCCGGACCATAACCTGTTAAGAGTCATATATTGCTGAAACGTGCTATGTATTGCATTGTATTCCCCGACCTCTCCTCTGTCCCCTGGGTAAATCATAGAGGGAACATGTACAGTCAGTCAAAGATGCACTGACTCCACCCTGGGTCTCATGCTCGCAATTTTACTTGGCAATACTTGGTGAAGTAAATTTTATGTGAGAATCTTGTGGCAGCTGTGGTTGTAGTTGAGTTGCTAAGTCATTAATATAATTTCTTCATTATTTAAACAAATACACAAACATTTGGAAACTTCTCATGAACCTTAAATAACAATGAATAGTTTATTATTATATAAATTCTACCTTCGGTTTGTTTAATATTTATCCTGTCAGTGATACAGCCAAAAACAGATCCACCAATCACAATCACCTTTACATACAGCCTTACTTCACCAAGTATTGACAGGTAAAATTGCGAGCATGAGACCCAGGGTGGAGTCAGTGCATCTTTGACTGACTGTACGTGTGGGTGAGAGTCCTCCGAAATTACTATTTTCCTCCATTTTCCATTTTAGCACTTAGCAGATTATGGTCCGGAGCTCCTCAATTTAGTCATACAGGATGCAGTGGGTGAGCGGATACAGCATTTGTGTCCTGCCTCAAAGGTAACTGGTTTGATTCAGGGACACCCCAGTCCACTTATTGTAAATAGGTGCCTAACTTTTCAGCTGTTAAAGTGAAGGTTTTGGCCATGTGTACTGCAGGTAATGCTGCTTCTTTGTGTGTTGAAATGTTAAGTCTCAGCATTAAGAGTGCTGTAAGTACACTGTCCCAATGGAAACTTTCTGCACTCTTTTAATAATAATATATTACTGCATTGCTAACACCAATTTTTTTATACACAGGTGGTGTTCCAAGTGCAGCCCCTCTCTGTGGCTCAGTGGATGGCCGTGTTGCATATATCCCTTCCTGTGATTATTTTGGACGAAACATTTAAGTTCGTGTCTCGTAAGTACGCCGACGGAGAGAATCCTCTCTTCTCCTGCCATTGGATTGTGCTAGCCTGGGCTGTCTACATCACATACATCAATTATTACTTTTTTTAACCTCAGTTGTCTAAATAATTAAATCACTAGGATGTACCTATGTTTAACTGGAACATAAATCTGTCAAGAACTACTGAACACGATGTTTGTTCTTTATTGAGAATATCTCTATAAAGTTGGCTAGGATTAGGGTCGTTAGTGATGGGAGACGAGGGAAGTTTTTACAGTGTTGTTGTGTGTGTTGGCACAGTTGTGTTCCCATCTGCCACTGCAAGGTACAAGTTTGAAAGATTAGTGTATGTGAAATGGTTGTTGTTGTAGGCCTATAACTACTACAGTTGTCAGCTGTTGTTATTGTGACTCGTTCGGGCATATGTTGTGTTGAAAATGCTCTTTAAGTGAACCACGTGTGAGGTGTTTACAAGCAAACCTTCTTATATCATAACTAGCATTTTTCATTTTTTTTTAATTGTGGAAAACAGAGATTCCATGTTTAATAACTTTGATAAAGTTGACCAACTCATCACTATCATTACCTCTTGTGACTGTGTATGTAGCACGGCGAGCACAGCTGGAGCATGACATTGCAAAACCATTATATATTATTATTTTTTAACTAATATCCATGTGCAGTGGACTGCATTGTGTTTTAGATGTTTTTACAGGTTTCATATGAACTGTGGTTATCCTGCCACTGATGGGATGTACAGTATCAAGTTAGCACAAGAGACATCATCCATTGTCTAGCAGTGTTGATGTGATGGCAATTAGCTCTTCGAGTAGCAAGCACAAGTAATTTTTTGTAAGACTGTTTCATCGTCAACTTTGTTTATCTAAGAACTCGTTAGCCTTGACGTAACCCTTTTTAAGTCTTCATCCCGAGAGTTTATGGTATTCCTAAATGTGTTTTATTTAATACTGTAGTTGACTGTGTTTGGGTCGGCATGATCTTATACTTACTCGTGTACAGTATTGTGCGTATATGATTTAATGATCTGACGTTAACTGCTGCAGTTCATCTACAAAGCTCTAAAGAAATGTTTACTCATGGTAAAATTAAGTTAAATTTAGGATAAAATTTATCCATTTGTCCGCAGAATGAATACAAAGTCTCATAACTAACTCACCCTGTTTGATAAATTTGATTGATCAGACTGTAGATATTGACACCAATAATCCTTTTAACTTTTCTTTGTTTTTATCTTAATCTATACTACTTAGTTGTTACTATTAAGTCTCCAGGGCTGTGGTATGTCTGCAACATGATAAAATATTGTTATTTTTACAGAAGGTTGGTAATACTTGATACATACTATATTCTATACTAAGATGATTAAGTTCTGTAGATCCACACAAGTAAAATTAATACATACAGTAAACACTGATTCAGAAGTGTGAAAGTAACAAATCGTGAAATTTACCGTTACTGTACGTACATGTTTGTGATTAAGTCGCGCACATTAGAATATTTGAATGTTTGTAAAGACTTGTGGGCAATTTCTAGTCATGTCATGCAACAAGATTGACCATTGAGTTGATACTGTGTTAATTTATTATATATGTAAAGCAAAAAGTAAAGCCTAAATATGAGGTGATGAAATGCTACTCTGTGTAATGACTGTACAACGATAGGTTTATAGAGATGAGTTTTTCTTGGTCTCTTCAGCTTGTTTTCCAGCAGGATGTAAGTGGTATAGGTTGGGTGGCAGGGTGTGGGGTGATGTGGCCTAGGTAGTAGGGTCTGAGTGGTGTGGTGTGGGTGGCAGGGTGTGAGTGGTATGGTGCGGGCAGCAGGGTGTGGATGGCATGATGCGAGTTTAGGGCGGAGTATTAAACAACAAACACACAATAGTTATTACATTACTGTACTCTTCATCTCTGTTCAACATTCAAAAGTCTTGGAGGCTTGTAATCAACTAAAAACATTGTCTCAACATTTCTGCAGCTGTTTGATGAGGCACTTAAAGGATATGCCATGGAAATATCATGAAAAAATTAAGGTAAAAGAGTCACAAATTGGAGATAATACTAATATACTTAATAGGATTTATTTTCTACTTTATTGTACTACTAATGAACACTAAACTCTCACTAGTTCGATGTTGTCAAGGCTCTCTGTCCATCTCATTAGTGTAGCCTGAAATATAGAATTACCCCACCATACAGAAATTACCTCACAGTTCCGTAGTGAAATAATGTACTGTATATATAAACTGTTACCATAGAGTCATTCCTTTTTAATGCAGTAGATGCATTCTGAAAGGTTAACATGTTCAGTGAAATTTTTAACAAACAGCTGTTTCCTGTTTAGGTACAAGTACTGTACAGCACTATGGTAGGGATGTGTGCAGGTTGAGGGTGAAGAGTAATGTGTAACACTGTACAGTATTATTATTCCTTGTTACTCGCGAGGGGAAGGTTCCAGAAACCCTCACACGCAACTGGCAAAATTAGTGGATACCATTTTCGGTCTTCACAAACCTACCCTATATACATTATTTGAATGACTTATTTTCAATCTGTGCCTAGATAAGCACTTTAATACATGATAATCATTATAGTAAGACAAATGAAGTAATAAACAAATAATAATAATTATAGTTGAATACAGTAGAGTATGTGGAGGGGGCAGCAACCTGTCTAAATATTTTTACTTTTTAAAATGCCGATATGTAAGAAAGTCAAATCGCTTATACATTATTCAACCAGAACCTTCTAGATATGTAGAGATGCTTATAGAAATTATTTCTCTACAAATTGCCCCACATTATGCAGAATGAGTGTCATAAGACCTGGCAGCACTTGGCCAAGCACACCTTGTACAGTACCAAGAAACGGGTGAAATTAAAGAACATGAGTATTGTAAAGGAATGACTGAGGAAGAGAACATGCCCACAACCTCTCAATAAATGGCTCTACCACAATCAGTCTTTTTATATACAGTATTCTTACATACTTATTGTTTTACTGTCATAAGAATGGGTATAGTATGGTGGTGGTGGATAGCTTGTGTGGGGTGGACCATGGTCAGTGAAATGGACATTATGCAAACACATTCAATTGTATTTTATATTGTACTTCTTACATAATTGTATATATTTCATGTTATTTTTATAGCTATTTAAGTGTTTCTATGTGAAAAACTAACTTTGGGAGACATGGTTGAGAGAATAACACAAAATTGTTTGAGGACAACAGATCTCAACGAAGACTGGGTGTGACTTTGGATGTGCGAACTCTACATATCTGTTTAGTGTATATCTTACATCTACAGTTTTGAATATCAACAAGAAATATTGATTTAGAACCAAAATATTGAATTGTGAATATCAAATTAGTGAGAGTTTGGTGTAATTCATAAAGATTTCTTCTCTACCTAATTGCCATGTACAGTACAGTACTTCATATGAGTTTTCATCTACCTTGTACTAAACCATTTTTTTTCCATCCATTTTTATTGTACTAAATAACTTTTCCACATATGTGTACTATGCTTAGTATGAATTATTTCAAACTTCGGGGTACTATACTTAGATGGGTTCTTTACTCCCATAGTTTTTACGATATTTATTGTGAAAACTTTTCTACAGCATATTGGTCGTCCTTTATCTGTTCATGTGATGCAATTTATTTTTATTTTTTCCATTACATTAAGATAATTGCTGTAGGAAGGTTCACTGCTGGAGGTGAGAGTCGACATAATCATTCTTGTCACACATTACCAGGTGTAGAGTACTGTTGGAACTTCAAGTAAGGGATTATACTTACAAGACTAGATTTTGTATTCTGTAGTGTATTAGTGAGTGAGGAGAATGCATACCTTGATGAACACAATTATTCATGTAGGTAGCCTCATATTGGTACAAAGGGGATATTAATTTGATCATAGGAAACAGGCAGTTTGGCACTGTGGAGCATTGGCATTTTCTGTACTGATCGTAAGGCTTTCCTATCCTTACATCACTTTAGAGGGTAGATCCCTGAGAGAGGTTTGAGTAGACTTGATCATTGAATCTGAAACTTACTTCATGTCTGTGGATTGAACAGACTGTTGCTACCCTGATAGATATTACACAATGGTGAGTGAATCATAGACACTGCAAGTTTTATAATAAGGAATTGCTTTTCTTTGTGCACTTAGTTTCTAAAATTGACAAAGTCCTTAAGACGTGGCGATGTAAACAATTCTATGTTAATAAGGCACAGATAAAAGAATTGGAGGTGGTGTCATTCTAGGCCACAATATATATACTGGGTGGGAGTGATCAAGAAATAATGGTGCATTTTGTCCCCTCTTACTGACCCATGTGAAAGCATCTCAACAAAAACTTTCATTTACTCAAAACTGTAGAGTTAGAAATTTGACTGTAGATCTATACAGTATATGTACAGACCATTGTCAACACTGCTATTAACTATCAATCTCCGACTGTTTCTATTGATGGTTGTTAATGTTCTTGGGATCACTTGAGTGTTGTGAAGAACGAGACATTCTTTAAGATGTTAAAAACAAGATTATCCAAACTAAATCCTCACTATAGTATATGTATTTTGGGGTTTAAAGCTTCTTGGAGATGCCATTGCAAAACTTTCAGATGGGTCACAGAGTTAGTTTTCAGAAAAGTTTACATTCTGTATGTTGATGTTATGAGACCTACAGTATTTCTGTTCTTGGACTCACAGATAGATATATGGGAGTTCTACCTTGTGAATTTAGTGGGAAATAAAGTAATATGCTTTTCATTGTTGATAACAAGATGAAGGGCTTGGCTTCACCAAGGATTTAATTTTTTATTTAATTATTAATGTTGAGAGGCACCCATATGTTGACCTCTTGCAACACTGACTAAGTTATCACATAGTATCTCTGGGATTTCTTGACACAGGCTTTAGATCCAGGCCTCGGGGGTTTTGGGTAGTAGGACAATTATTAATATATATGTTTAGAGATTTACTTCTGATTATTATGGAAACATTTTACCGACAATAAAGGTGAAGAGGAGCCAAATTACCTTATAAATAATGTGTTTGTTATGGTATTATGCTTTATTTCCCACCAGATCATCTCCATTTTCCCAAGTTGTTGTTCATATCTATTAAAACCTAATTTATAGGAGTAATTAAAGACATTCTGGTTGGTTAGATTGTAAAATATAAAATGTGTTTTGTAGTTGAACTTGTTTTTTTTTTATTCTGTAAAATGACTTTGCAGTCATAATGAGGCTACATTTACTGTAGCTTTGGCATTTATTCAGGTATCCACTTCAGTCATGCATTAAGACCCGTCACTTCCAGCAAGGATACTCAGTGCCGGATTAACTATGAGGCACTGGCCTCAGGCCCCCTGACTCTAAGGGGCCCCCAAATCCAAACATTCTCGAAGTTGAAGCATATAAAACATGAACTTCGTTCGACGATGTCCTAGCAACGTCTCAATTTTCTGTCTCTTATGAACATTGAATGTGTTATTTTGCACAATCTTAATATTGATGAAATCATTGATAAATTTGGGGGTGTTATGTTCTTGCTATATATATATATATATACCTTGAGGGTAGGGGGCCCTGTGCCTCAGACCCCTATAAGCTTAATCCGGCCCTGAGGATACTCCAGTCATTATATATTAGGTCGATGGACAGACTGTGACACCATTACAGTACTACTGTAAATAGGATTACTTATGAAATTTTTTGCCCTAGTGTTCATCTTAATTATAGGCCAGTGTGTAAATGAAGTGCAAGGTATTTGGATTATATTTCAGTAAGTCATTAGTGATAGTGCAAACTTTGCTTGGTAATTAACATTCCTAAAGCATTCCTCAGATTATGATGGTTGTTGTTTTACAACACCTTGTTACATCATATTCTGCTGACCTGACCCTGTTTAACTTTATATATATATATATATATATATATATATATATATATATATATATATATATATATATATATATATATATATATATATATATATATATATATATATATATATATATATATATATATATATTATTGCTGGTGTGAAGATTTAACTCGTACAGTAGTATGAGTGGGGAATGGTTCTGTAACAGTAATATATAACTAAGTGTTGGCTTACTCTTTAATGTATATGTATGGTAAGAACTCTCTATAACAAAATACTTAGGGCTGAAGTGAGTACTGTACTTTATATTAAGAAGCAACCACGTACGGTGGTATAAAGAGTCGCATTAAAATCAGGGACACCGCAACTGAAAACAGAAGATAAAAGTTAAGAATATTAAAAAAAAATATGAAACAAAAACAGCATTCTGTACTTCACTGTAAAGAATGTACTGTTATGCTATCATCTGTGATATTCAGTGTGAAGGATCTGCATATTATATGATGTTTAACTAAGGGCTGTATGCTACACAGTGTATTTTGTGGTATATATTGTACAGACACTCAAAAAACTATCTAATTGAGGGGTTGATGAATTTCAGAATGAACACTGTTACTCCTGTTGTCTCGGTAGGGTTGTCAAAATCCTTCGTCCATTGTGTCGTATTTTTTCAACACAGTTTTGTGGAGATAGTGTTTTGGGTGACTGTACTTCAACCTTTAATGCACTGTCTTTGTTACTTTGGATGAAGTCACCATTTAGTTCAACTTATTAACTCTGTAATGAACTTTGATGTGTTATATTACAGTAAAATATCTGTCAACTAATAATTTAGGGTTTTTGAGGCTTTCATAAAATGGATAATTATGTAAAGTGGATACTATCATAAGCATGTGTCCATGGAGAGCATGTACTAAACTATAGTGCAGTACTTGTGTCAGTTTGGTTTTGTTATTAGTTCTGCAAATACTGTACCTGTACACTAACATAACTTCACTATTCTGGGACACATTCAGTGTTATTAAGTCTACGAGAATCTTTCAATGCGTCATTCTCCTACAGTTAATATGTAACTTGTACTCCACATCTCACATGAAGACAAGTAGATGCATCACTCACACCACCACACACACAGTCACTGTGGCAGTTTCCTAATTGTGCATTTTCTCCTCCTTTACTCTAGTGTATTATGTAGAAGATTAAAAAATAACCTTAAATATTTTATTAAGGATGGTCAAATCTTGACATAAAATATACTACTGTATTTCACAATACAGTATATATTTTTAGTTGACAGTTACTTTACTATCCTTTAATCTTAATGATAAAGCAAGATATATGGTACAGAGATGTTTGTGTGAAGTTTGTTATAGTGAGGATTTACTATACAGTATATTTATAGATACAGTACTGTATACTGTACATCGAGGCAGGTTCTTGCAACTCATGCTAATGTTGACAAAGACAATGAATTTATCCTTTATATGTGAGTTCACTGTCTGTTGTTACTGGTTTGTGCTGCAACATTCTCCCAAATCATTTAACTTATGAATATGATGTTTGTGGCAGTAATAGCAGCCCGGTGAGAAGGTAAAGAAACAGGCGACTCCATAATGATGTAACCAACCCTTCTAGGATGGAGATAGCATGGTGACATCATGTTTGCATCTCACATACAGAGGTAAAGGTTTGGTCTACCAAGGAAAGTATTGCTGTATGTAATTCTGTGAAAGTACTTCAGAGAGGGTTTGTGGTTGGAACCAGATTTTGTCAATTGCAGTAAAAAAGTTCCCATTTAAAGACATTCAGTGTACTCTGTGTCCATTCCATTCTTTTCTTTGTAAACTGTGATGACATGTGTTTTGTTACATAATAAAGTATTGTTAAGAATGTTTCTTTTATTAAAATTTTGACCATTATAGAGTAATGTACACAGTTTGCCACACACTGTACCTTGATCACTGACACATCTGTATATACACGATGCTGTATCATGAAATATTGAACCCCTCACACATACTCAGGACTAGGTAAGGTTTAAAAGGTTTGTTTGGTGTTCTTTTTAGTATTTTACCCCACTTTTTCCCTCTACTTCAAAGCCCTGCCACTTTGAACTAATATTGTTGGCAATGGGGGTAATATTGGTTAAAATACAAGGAAAATATAAATTTGCAATGGAAATGTACTAGAATAAAGCTTTTCTTTCTCCCTATATAAATAAAAAATTAAAATCCAAGTTCTACCTAAAACGATGAATAATAATTTCTATAGCCGAGTTTAGTTTATTTAATAATCCTGAATTAACTACGTGATAATTATTCTGTACATACAATAGTTAATAACAATAAATTAGTTTTAGTATTATTATTATTATTATTTATTTTTATTGGTTTTTAATACTATGGTAACACATTTAAACTCGTTCAAAGTCATTTAATATAATTCAAGTCATTTAAGGCCCTCTTTCAAACATGCATGAAACTGTTTGTTTATTTCCAATTTCTCTTGTGAATAAAAAAAGTTGGTTGATCCTCCTGTTCTTATACGGCAGTTCCACAATACCTACTCCATTTTTTTTTTAATTATTTTTTTTTTTACGGGATTAGCCCACCAGGGCACAGGTCACTGCTTCTGTCGAGGGAAGTGTCGGTATTTGTGTTTACATGACTCTAGTTGGCAAGAGCGGTACTGCTCTATCACCAGCGCCCCAAATCTCTTCATTGATGTGCTCGGTGGTGAACAGGTGGGAGCCGAGGTACTG